TGGCGGGGGGAGGGAAGGAGTGCGGTAGGGGAAGAGGCGGTAGAAGGGGACTGACTCGTCGAACGTGACGTCCTGGGAGGACAGAACACGACGAGAGGAGGGGTGGTAGAACTGCCACCCTGGGGCGTCAGGGGGGAAGCCGAGGAAGACACAGGGAGCAGCACGAGGGGACAGCTTGTCCGCAGACAAGTCGCGGACAAACGCCCGAGATCCCCAGACACGGAACGCAGACGCATCGCCGACCTTCCCCGTCCACAGCAGAGCTGGGGAGGTCTCCGGCCGGGAGACCCTGGGGTGAAGGTTGATCTGATGCGCCGCGTACCGAACCGCAAACGGCCACAGAAAATGGGGGGCATCCGCATGCATCATGGACGTACGAGCGACGTCCATGACCATGCCAATGCGGCGCTCAGCAATCCCATTTTGCTGTGGAGAGTCCGGAAGCGTAAAGGTCTGGCGGATGCCTCGTGCACGACAGTAGGCTCGCAGAAGGCCAGAGGAGAACTCTCCACCTCGGTCAGAGTGCAGACGCAGAACAGGAAAGTCCGAGCCGAAGCTCCTCCTGAGCTGGAGACGAGCTGCGCGGATCCAGTCGATCAACACCTCAGTAACATCACCCTTGCTGCGCAAGGGGAAGACTGTGGTGTAACGCGAGTAGTCGTCAACCACCAGCAGGAAGTAGCGCTCGTGACCCTGCCCACGGACGCGGGCCGGGCCCCACACGTCCATGTGAAGCGTCTGCAGAGGAGCCTCTGTCGGGGGAAACTGGGAGGAGTGAGGGGCAGCCCGGAGCCGCCCCTCGACACAGGGGACACAGGAAGGTCCGGGTCCCGAGGGAAGGGGAGGGAGAGACCGGGGAAGACCAGAGACAAGGACACGGGAAGCCATGCCCCGAAGACGAGACAAGGAGGGGTGGCCAAGACGGTGGTGCCACAGGAGAGTCTCCTGAGACAGGCGGCGACACGAGCAGGGGGCAGACTCAGGACCAGACCTGGACGCAGCAGCAAACACCTGACCCGACGCAGCTACCTGGCCAGACGCAGGGACAGGAGGAGACTCAGTGGTCAGGGTGTAGAGACTCGACCCCGGCCGACGCGAAAACGTGGCCAGGTGTCGGCCTGTGCGGGCGTCCGAGCAGTGGGTCACCCGCTGACTCGCAGGAGTAAACTGGTGAACCCCCGCATCCTGCAGGTCAGCACCACTCACCAAGTTCGTCGAGAACGAGGGGAGGTACAGACCAGACAAGGTGCCCGAGGGGGGCAGCCGGACACGGGAGGACAGTGGAGAAGTGAGAGAGGACAGGACCCCCAGAGGGGTCAGCCAGGGAGACTGCAACCGGCCGGCCAAGCGGCGTGAGTGTGGTGCGGTCTCGAAAGAAGGAGCGAGAAGCCCCTGAGTCAAGCGTGAAGGTGAGGGAGGCCGAAGCCGACGCAGTACCTGAGAGCGCAGCCTCACCAGTACCTGAGAGCGCAGACGCACTGGCACCTAGAGCAGCAGCCGCAGAAGTACCTGGCGCAGCAGTACCAATGCCCGGGTCGGGCAGGAAACACCGGTAACAGTCACCCTCCTCACTAATAGTCACAGCATACATGGCAGCAAGGATAGCATCAAAGTCAAGATCAAAGATAGCTACGCCAGCCCTAGACAGCTCTCCCCAACGGGGAATCTCACTAGCCTCGGGGAACTGCTGACGCCAAGCGTCCGTCAGGCGGCCAAAGCAGCGCTGGGTGGGGTGGGCACCTCCACACTGCTCACCCGCGCGGTCGCCGGAACGAAGGACGTAGGTGCACGGACCAAAACCCCCACCCCGCTGACGCTGCGTGTACCACTCACGGAGCTGCTGGGGCGGGGGGATGTCCCGCGAACGCTGCTGCTGCTGCTGCTGCTGACGCTGGCCACCACCAGAGCCGCTACGCTGCGGGGCACCACCCCGACCAGCTCCACCCCCTCCGCCACCGCCGCCTCCACCTCCACCACCACCGCTGCCTCCGCTCCCACCGCTGCCGCCGCCACCGCCTCCTCCTCCGCTGCTGACACCGCCACCACCGCCCCCGCCACCACTCCCACCGCCACTCCCACTCCCTCCGCCGCCTCCACCGCCACCTCCACCGCCCCCGCCAGGTCCACCCGCGCCCTTGCCCCCCTTGCCCCTGCCAGGGCGGCGTCTCCCGCTAGGGGCAGACGCCGCGCAGACCGACTCAAGACCAAGCAGGTCGGCAGCAGCAGCAGAGGCAACAGAGGGCAGCAGGGGGGAAGGAGAACACCCCTCAAAGATGGGGGTGCGAGGGTCACCACGAGAGGCTCCTACAGCGACGATGCTCTTCTCCGCCGCCAGGAGGGACTTCTCGAGGAGGTCGACAGTGAGAGTGGTGGGACAGACTGAGAGGAAGTGGTCCCTGACTACGTGAAGGGAGTCAGGGAGGCGTGTGACTATGTAATAGAGAGTGATGTACATGGGGGGGGGGTTCTTGGCGCAGAACTCAGCAGGAAGGGCGGCACGGTAGCGAGTGTCACTAGTGCGGAGGTGCGTAATGAGGTCAGCGACAGTGGGAAAGGCAGCAAGGTCAGGAAAGAGGTACGGTAGCATGAGGCGGCTAAGGGCAGCAGTGGCAGGGGAAGAGTAGCGCGCAACTACAGCGTCGTACAAGGTCTGAGCACTCTTGTACTGACTAAAGTGCGCGCGCTCAGTGGTAGGCAGGTGGCGACGCACAGCAAGACGTGCAGCAGCATCGCGGGTGGCCCACTGAGAGCGAACAGTGGGGTCAGCATCAGCAGCAGGGGCAGGAGAGGCGCCAGAGGTGAGGTCAAAGAGGGAAAGACCGTCCGCCCTATCGCACTGTAAGAACAGCTGCAGGTCGTCGACCCAGACCTCAAAGTCAATGGCCCGACCCTCAGCGTCAAAAGCGAGGACACTAGGGGTAGCCATGACGACGACAGTGTAGTAGTGCAAGCAGTAGGGGAAGGGCACGCAGTAACAGTGGTGCTGTGCTCACCAGGCAGGGCAGGTCGGGCGGCTCGGCAGTAGGGCGGCCCGGCGACTCGGCTGCTGGGCGGCTCGGCTTCCGGGCGGCTCGGCGGCAGGGCGGCTCGGCGGCAGGGCGGCTCGGCGGCTCGGCGGCTCGGCTCCCGGGCGGCTCGGCGGCAGGGCGGCTCGGCAGCAGGGCGGCTCGGCTGCACGGCGGCTCGGTTGCTCGGCTCACGGGCGGCTCGGCAGCAGGGCGGCTCGGCGGCAGGGCGGCTCGGCGGCCGGGCGGTTCGGCTGCAGCGCGGCTCGGCGGCGGGGCGGCTCGGCTGCTCTGCTGCTGGGCGGCTCGGCTGCGCTGCTGTTGGGCGGCTCGGCTGGGCCGCTGACGTAGCGAGGTGGCGGGGCCGCGAAGACGGGCGGCGGGGCCGCTGCAGAGAAGCGGCGGGGCCGCAGGGAAGGGTGGCGGGGCCGCAACGAGAGAGGCGGCGGGGCCGCAGCGAGAGAGGCGGCGGGGCCGCAGCGAGAGAAGCGGCGGGGCCGCGAAGTCGGGCGGCGGGGCCGCTGAGTAGGGCGGCGGGGCTGCAGTGAGAGGCGGCGGGGCCGCAGCGAGAGAGGCGGCGGGGCCGCGAAGACGGGCGGCGGGGCCGCAGTGAAGGGGCGGCGCGAAGCCGCCGGTGAGGGCGGCGTAACGCCGCGGGTAAGGGCGGCGACGGGCCGGGAAAAGGGGCGGCGCGCCGCAGCCGCTATGGCGGCTCGACGCGACCGTAAGGGCGGCACTACGGGCCGCTAGGTGCGACTCGACGGGCCGCTTAAAAAAAAAGGGCAGGCGCGACTCGAGGCGCGTTTCGGTGGGCCCAAGGAACAGTCCCTAGGAGGGGACCTGCTCTGATTCCATGTGAGAATGAGAACGAGAATGCATGAACTATGAATGAAGTGAGTACATATAGGAAACCCTAATTGTGTTGTACCCCCTATGGGATACCCCACTATAGCCTACACAACAGCATAAGCTATATATATATGTTCTGACACAGAGAACCGGTTCGTCGATTGAGACAATTGCTACAATAAGTCAGTATTACAGCTGCCATGTGACTGAATCATCCTTAACGTTGCGATTTTCAAACGGACAACGCGTCTGCGACGGGAGCATAGTCCAATTGTGATAGCGATGGCTATTTTATTTTATTGATGCCTTGGCCCAATTTTACAGGCCCAATTTCCCATCGAGTCTGCCTATTGCTGTTTAAGTTCCCATTTTTACGTACACGTTTTTATTTCTGCGGTTGCTGTGCTCTGAACTGAATTACGCAATGGCGCGTTTCATTCCCTTGCGTGTTCCGTTTCACTTGCCGTCGAGTCGAGACGGAATCCGTCGACGGAGACGGATTTCCTCGACGGGAGAAGAGGGCCAGGAGGGGGAGCACGTGGGGTCCACGCCAGCTCGAGCGGGGACCACCTCGCGTCACTCCGAGCTGGCGGGTCACGTTTCGGGCGGGCGGGGTGGCTGGCTCCCGCCCCTCGCGTGCCCCGCCACGCGACTGCGGGAAAACGAAAATCCCTCCAAGGAAAACCCGCAGGGGCGAACGGGGTTTCGCGGAGGGATTCGGGCGACGTCTTCCCCACACTTCCCTATGTCCCCAAGCCCTACACAACAGCACCACTACGGCTTTGCGCCCACCAATCGCGGAGGGCTCGACACTTGCTCATTTGCTACCGACCCTTCATTCGTCGCCGATTCTAGGCTGCGAGATTCAGTCACTTTTCGAGCTCGAAGTCGAAGCTTCATTTTTGCAATCGCTAATACGGAGCCGGCATCCTTTCTCCGTTTATATTCCGTTCGCTAAGAGGTCACTTTCAGGTCTCGAAATTCGTTTTAGTCACGATGGCTGATAGCGACGATGAGATTCCGGTTTCCAACCCGCTTCCGCCGCCGCCGCGGCCGGGCCGGAAGAAAGAGCATGAGCGTGCTCCGGAATCCACGCCGGGAAAGGCTGCGGAAGCTGCGAATTTGTCGAATAAGGACTTTCGAAAGATGGTGCTAGAGACTCCGCGACGCGGGTCGCAGCAGCCGGAGAAGAAACATCAGGAGAAGAACAAATAGTAAGAAGCCTAATTAGGTCAACGGTGAAGATCCTTTGAGAGATTACGAGCCGCGGGTCTGAGCAGACGGAGAGTAAGGGACGGAGCATAGCAAGTCGTTAGGGATCTTATTTGAATAGTATAGTACGGTATGGTGCCTAAAAAAAAGTCCTGAAGTTTGCTCTCAGGTGGGTTCGCAGGTTGACTAGTGCGACGGGGAAGTTTGAGAGAAATGCAACGGAATGTTTGGTTACGTTCGTCAGGCAGGGAAACGATGAGGTTGCTGAATGATTTGCTGAATGATTTGCTGAATGATCTGCTGAATTATTATCTCTAGTCAAATTTGTTACGCCTACCCCCCTCAAGTCCCTCCTTTACACCTTCCCCATCCTCTTCCTCCCCCCACGTCTCCATCCCCCCCTCCCGCCCACCTCACCCTCCACCATTTCACTTTTCCCCTTCGTCCCCCCACCTTGCTCCCCCCTCCCCTCCCCAACCTCCCCCTCCCCTCCTCCCCCCCTTTTTTTCATTCTGCAGCAAGCGATTCAACGACCCCAGTGCCACTCCTGCTTCAGACGCCAGGCACAAGCTTATATTTTCTGTTCAATTTTATTACGCCTACCCACTCAAGTCCCACCGTCACGCCTTTCCCGCTTCTCCCCTCCCCCCTTCCCCCCCCCTTCCTCCCCCCGGTCTTCCCGCAGCAAGCGATTCAACGACCCAAGTGCCACTCCTGGTTCAGACGCCAGACGCAAGTACTATGGCAAAGGAAAAGGGTAAGTTCGCCTGCAAAGTAATAATGGGTAAATAATCCTGCACTGTGAAAAGGGCAAGCAAGAATGCTGGTAGGAGACAGCGAGCTTTGTTTTGCTGCTAGCCCTTTTCTGGACTGCTTCCCGCAACTATTTCCACCTATCTCAATCCATCTACACCTCTTTCTACTGTTTCGTTCTCCCCCCTCCTCCCCCCACCACACCCTTTTCCAGGGAAGAGGGTGCTTCTGCGGGGGGTGATAGTAAAGAGGGCGAGGAGCCTCAGTACAGGGACAGAGCAAAGGAGAGACGGGAGGAGGTGAATCCGGACTACAAGGACGCTGCTGTGCCCAGCCACCTGGGACAACTGAATGCCGTCGCCCCTCCTGGCGTTGACTTGACGTGAGTATTGGGGTACGGGAGACAGAGTACCACCCTTAAAAGGAGAGGCGAAAGGGTGAGGAGGGAGGAGAGGCGGGAGGAGGTGAATCCGGACTACAAGGATGCAGCTGTGCCCAGCCATCTGGGACAACTGAATGCTGTCGCCCCTCCTGGTGTTGACCTAACGTGAGTACCAGTAAACAGTCGACTGAGCAGCACCGTCAGAAGGGTTTGTATGAGTGGGAGAGGAGAGGCGGGAGGAGGTGAATCCGGATTACAAGGACGCTGCTGTGCCAAGCCACCTGGGGCAACTGAATGCCGTTGCGCCTCCTGGTGTTGACCTAACGTGAGTAGCAGTAAACAGTCGACTGAGCAGCACCGTCAGAAGGGTATGTATGAGTGGGAGAGGAGATGCGGGAGGAGTTGAATCCGGTCTACAAAGACGCTGCCGTGCCGAGTCACTTGGGGCAAGTGAATGCCGTCGCTCCTCCTGGTGTTGACTGAACGTGAGTAGAAGGGCGATAGAGAAATAGAGTAGTACTATATCCTCACAAGGGCATGAGAGTGGGACGAGGGAGGAGGTGAATCCGGACTACAAGGATGCAGCCGTGCCAAGCCACCTGGGACAACTCAATGCTGTCGCTCCTCCTGGCGTGTGAGTAGCTGAGGAAGGGAGAGTTACAGCGTAGCACCATCAGAAGAGTTCGGGAGGGAGAGGAGGGAGAGGAGGGAGAGGAGGGAAAGGTGGGAGGAGGCGTGCGTGCGTGAGCTCGTCAAACCCCGAACCCCCCAATGTCCCGATCCTTCAAGTGCAAAACCCTGGCCTTTGGTGTTGCTGAACGGAATTCCTTTGAATGTCCTTCTTCACAACCCTAGTATACGCCCAACCCGTCAACCTCTCAACCCTGATCTGAACCTTCTTGCAGCACCACGGACGCACACAAGTTGGCGATTGAGAAGTCCAAGTTCCTGGGAGGAGACGTGGAGCACACGCATCTGGTGAAGGGGCTGGACTATGCGCTGCTCAACAAAGTGACTTTTTCCCCTCTCCTCCCCACTCCCACTCCCCTTCCCCCACTGGCCGTCTTCTCTCTCTCCTTGTTCCCACGCCTTTGCTTCCCCACTCTCCTTCTTTCCTCTTCCCCCCTCTCCTTGCAGCACCACGGACGCCCACAAGCTAGCAATCGAGAAGTCCAAGTTCCTGGGAGGAGACGTGGAGCACACGCATCTGGTGAAGGGGCTGGACTATGCGCTTCTCAACAAAGTGCGCTCGGAAATGAAAGGCCGTCCGGGGGAGAGGGGAGGGGAGGGAGAAAAGGAGGAGGGAGGAGAGGAGGACGAGGAGGAGGGTTCTGCTGCTGCTGCTGCGGCTGCTGGGAAGGCCAAGGGCAGGTGAGGGGTGAGGGGTATGTGTAGCATATGAGTGTGCGGTGAAGGGGGCTGGACTATGCTCTGCTCAACAAAGTGCGCTCGGAGATGAAAGGCCGTCCGGGGGAGAGGGGAGGGGAGGGAGAAAAGGAGGAGGGGGGAGAGGAGGACGAGGAGGAGGGTTCTGCTGCTGCTTCTGCGGCGGCCAAGGGCAGGTGAGGGGTGAGGGTTGAGGTGTGAGCTGTTTGCGTGTGTGTGTGTGTGTGTGTGTGTGTGTGTGTGTGTGTGTGTGTGTGTGTGTGTGTGTGTGTGGTGACTTGTGAATCTATTTAGCACCGGCCGCTGTTTCTTTCACATGAGAGATTCATTTGCTCTTAGAAGCATCCTTCCTTGGGCTCTATTGTCTGCCTCTTCCTCTGCTCTGTCTTTGAGATTAGTTTTGAGATTAGTCTATTCTCAAAACTAATCTCAAACAGCATCCTTCCTTGGGCTCTATTGTCTGCCTCTTCCTCTGCTCTGTCTTTTGAGGCGCCTCAAAAATATTTTCTGGCTCTTCCTCTGCTCTGTAAATCTGCAGGAAAGCGCGAGAGAAAGTACCCACATTTCACTACGCCTGAGACGATTTTTGAGGCACCTAAAAACTCCTCTGCCTGTGCTCTCTTGATTTGCAGGAAAGCGCAAGAAAAAGTGCCCACATTCCGCTCGGCCTCGACAAAAAAAATATTCTCTGCCTCTGCCACTGTTTTTCTCTTAATCTGCACTGCAGGAAAGCGCAAGAAAAAGTGCCCACATTTCGATCGGCCCTGGCTCGAGTAAGTCACTCATTCCTTGTGTGCAACGGTTTGGGGGTTGGGAACTGTGAAGGACTTGCATTTGGGAAAAAGTGCCCACATTTCAAGCGACGCACGGCTTCCCCATCCCACCCACCCGCTACCCTACCACAGCTTCGTATTGCCCTGTGTTGCATTTCCTTTGTGAGGCAACGTTCAGGGAGAAGCTTTTCGCATGCCTTTCCATCCATCTCGCATGCCTTTCCATCCATCTCGCATGCCTTTCCATCCATCCGCATTCCTTCCATTGCCTCCCATTCATGCTATTCTACCCATCCCATTCATCCTCTCCTCCCCTCCTTTCAAATCTGGTGTTTGAGTCTAATCCTCTCTCCCCCTTCTCCCCCTTCTCCCCCCCTTACCCCTCGCCCCTACAGTCGATATTCGAGCAGATAGTCCGCCCGGTGGCGCTCAAGCTGCTTTTGAGCATTCCTTAAAAGCTCAATTCTTAAAAATGAGTTCGGTACATCCCATTCCCCCCCACCCCCCTCCCCTTCACCCTTACAGTCAGTTTTCGAGCAGATAGTCCGCCCGGTGCCGCCCAAGCCAAACGAGTTCTTCCTGCCGGGCCGCACGTCGTTTGTCTTTGACATGGACGACGAGTTTCGGAATGAGATCCCCACCACTGTCCACCGCAGCAAGGCCGACTGCCCTGCTCCCCAGGTACGTGTCAGTTTCTTTCGGATGTGTAGGGGCACTCCCTGCCAGCATGGGATGTATGCAGATGCACTGCTCTGTTTGTCTTTGACATGGACGACGAGTTTCGGAATGAGATCCCCACCACCGTGCACCGCAGCAAAGCTGACTGCCCTCCTCCTCAGGTGAGGGTGCTTGAGCGTGGTGAGGTGAGATGCATGCTGATGCATGCATTCAGATGCAGTGTTCCGTTTGTCTTTGACATGGACGATGAGTTCCGCAGCGAGATCCCCACCACTGTCCACCGCAGCAAGGCCGACTGCCCACCTCCCCAGGTACGTGTCAGTTTCTTTCGGATGTGTAGGGGCACTCCCTGCCCGGGGAATGAGCATGGGATGTGTGCAGATGCAGTGTTCCGTTTGTCTTTGACATGGACGATGAGTTTCGGAGTGAAATCCCCACCACCGTGCACCGCAGCAAGGCCGACTGCCCACCTCCGCAGGTACGTCTTGCTTCCTCGTATATATGGATGTGTAAGTGCACTCCCTGCTTGTTTGTCTTTGACATTGATCACGAGTTCCGGAGCAAAATTCCCACCACTGTTCACCACCGCAGGTGAACAAGACTGGATGCTGTTAGTGTTTATTTTTTCTGATGTTTTTTTGTTCAATTTAGTCATTTTATGTCTAGCGTGTGGAGGATGAATCATGTAGTAGCGTCCTGTGAGGTATCGCTAGTCCCTATCCTTTTCCTTCCCTCATCCTCCTAATCCTCTCCACCTTCCTCATCTTCCCCTCTCCCTCCCTCCCACTCGGTCACTCCACGGGACCTTGTATCCGCGTCGTTGGATGCCCCAGTGTTGAGGAACATCATCCTGAGGTGACTTTTGAGTCGACTCAAAAGTCTTTGGATGCCCCAGTGTTGAGGAACATCATCCCAATTAATCCGCGTCTTTGGATGCCCCAGTGTTGAGGGACATCATCCCGAGGTGACTTTTGAGTCGACTCAAAAGTCTTTGGATGCCCCAGTGTTGAGGAACATCATCCCAATTCCCTCTCCTTTCTCTACCCTCACCCTCTCAGCCTTCATCCTTTCTCCCCTCCCACTCACTCTCTGTCGATTTCCACCCCGTCTCCCCTTTCTTACTCCCCCCCTTTCTCCCCACCCACTCACTCACCCCACAGGACCTGGTATCCGCGGCACAGGATGCCCCAGTGCTGGATAGAGTGACCCACGTCATCTCGTACCTACGACTGGGATCAAGCGCAAAGGTACGGTGCCTTTCTCTTCATGCAAGAATATAACAGGACCTGGCGTCTGTGTCCTTTGAGTCGACTAGAACAGCACAGGACGCCCCAGTGCTGGATAGAGTCACCCACGTCATCTCGTACCTACGACTGGGATCAAGCGCAAAGGTACGGTGCCTTTCTCATGCAATAGGTGCAACTTCACAGGACCTGGCGTCTGTGTCTTTTCAGTCACTATGGGGATTGCATGGGGCAGGCAGCAACGCTAGCTACTGGCAGCAAGTGGATAGAGTCATTCAGTGTTGGATAGAGAGAGTCACCCACGTCATCTCCTACCTGCGGTTTGTTTTGAGACGTCTCAAAACAAATCTTCATACACGTCGCTAGCTACTGGCAGCAAGTGGATAGAGTCACCCACCCACGTCATCTCGTACCTGCGGCTTGCACGTACTCGCAGGGTATCTACGTATGTGTGCATGTTAGATGCAGTTTAGCTTGTGTTGGCACTCCCGCCGTCCCTCTCCTCTCTTTGTTACATGTGACCAACAGTTCTGTTTGGTTGTTTGTTTGTTTGTTTTATTTTTTTGTTCTTTTGTTGTTCCTTTTGTTCTCCATAGTACCATTTCCCTCACTCCCTCCCTCCCCGAATCCGATTTGTTTTTTTCTTTCTGTTCGATTATGGCATTACAGGCACACAAGAAGAAGAAAAAAGACAAGGATAGCAACAGGGGTAAGGCCACGGTGCTCTAGTCTTCACATATTCAGAGTTCCGCTAGCTATCGACATTCCAAACTGTTGCTCAACTCTTGAGGCGCCTCAAAAGTAATCTTTTATCCCGCAAGTTCCGCTAGGTAGCAACATTCCAAATTGTTGCTCAACTCTTTCTCTACCTCCTTTCTCCCTTCCTCCCTCCTTCTCCAGTCCTTTTTCGGGTATTCTTCCTCCCAAGCCTTCTCAGCACTCAACCAACCTCTTTTAATTGTTTGTGCCCTCCCCCTCTTTCCTTCCTCTCTCCCCCACTCTCTTCCTCTCTCTCCCTCCCTCTGCAGTCCTGGTTCCTGGTATTCTTCCTCCCAAGCCCTCTCAGCCGTCAGCCGACCTCCCATCCTCCCAACCTGCCGCACGAACCGAAGCTGCTGCTGAAAATTGTGGCGCTGCTGCTGGTAATGCTGGTGGGAATAGCGGCATTACAAATGGGACTGGCAGCAGCGGCGGTGGCAGGAAGAACAGGAAGGAGGCAGCAGCAGCAGCAGCAGCAGCAAAAGCCGCTGCCACAGAAGCAGCAGCAGCAGCAGCAGCGCCTAAGAAGAAGAAAGAGGAAGAGGAGGAGGATGATGATGATATTTTTGCAGATGTGGGGAAGGATTACACAGTCACTACTAAGCCTAGAGCACCTGCTGCTGCTGACTCTGGTGCTGCTGCTGACTCTGGTGCTGCTGCAGGAGTCTCAGCAGCAACAGCAGTAGCAGGTGCAGCAGGAGCATCTGGTGCTTCTGCAAGTGCTTCTCGCCCTGCTTACTTTGACGTGCCGAGCGGTATTGCGGAAGCGGTCGCACATGCCGCCGCTGCTGCCGCCGCCGCTGCTGGTGCTGCTGCTGCTCTGCCCCCGCCTCCCCCACTGCTCCCGCCTGCTGCTGATGATGCGGATATGGATATGGATGAGGATGATGGTGCCATGCCTCCTCCTCCTCCGCCGCCTCCACTCCCACATGACATGGTAAGACCTTTGTTTCCATTTGTTTCTCCACCTTCGCCCCCCTCGTGCTGCTCTGCCCCCGCCTCCCCCACTGCTCCCGCCTGCTGCTGCTGACGATGCGGATATGGATATGGATGACGATGATGGTGCCATGCCTCCTCCTCCTCCCCCGCCTCTCCCACATGACATGGTACGAACTTGTTTGTTCTTTTCCGCTTTTTCTCCTCACATGGTACGAACTTGTTTGTTTTTTTCCGCTTTTTCTCCTCACATGGTACGAACTTGTTTGTTTTTTTCCGCTTTTTCTCCTCACATGGTACGAACTTGTTTGTTTTTTTCCGCTTTTTCTCCTCACATGGTACGAACTTGTTTGTTTTTTTCCGCTTTTTCTCCTCACATGGTACGAACTTGTTTGTTTTTTTCCGCTTTTTCTCCTCACATGGTACGAACTTGTTTGTTTTTTTCCGCTTTTTCTCCTCACATGGTACGAACTTGTTTGTTTTTTTCCGCTTTTTCTCCTCACATGGTACGGCCTTCTGCCCTCTTGTGCTCCTCTGATCCACCGCTCGCTTCCTCCTTCCAGTGCTTTTGCCTCCCGCGCTTACTGCCTCTGATTCCTCCCGCACTTACTGCCTCTGCTTCCTCCCGCGCTTACTGCCTCTGCTTCCTCCCGCGCTTACTGCCTCTGCTTCCTCCCGCGCTTACTGCCTCTGCTTCCTCCCGCGCTTACTGCCTCTGCTTCCTCCCGCGCTTACTGCCTCTGCTTCCTCCCGTTTTTGCAGGTGGGCCCAGCCTACCCACCAGCAGACGGCTCACGGGAAGACTATCCCACCAACTCCGGTTCCACCTCCCCGTGCATTGAGGTGTATTTTGAGGCGCCTCAAAAAACTATCCCACCAAATCCGGCTCCACCTCCCCTTCTTTGTGCCCCCCACTCTCACGCTCACTTGCCCCCCTCCTTCCTTTCGTCTCTCTTCTGTCCCTTCTTGCAGGTCGGCCCAGCCTACCCGCCAGCAGACGGCTCTTGGGAAGACTACCCACCCCCTCCGGCTCCACCTAACCTTCTCTGTGCTCCCCACTCTCACGCTCACTTGCCCCCCTCCTTCCTTTTGTCTCTCTTCTGTCGCTTCTTGCAGGTTGGCCCGGCCTACCCGCCAGCAGACGGCTCTTGGGAAGACTACCCACCCCCTCCTCCTCTTCCTCCTCCTCCCGGCGCCCCTACAACCCTCCCTCCCTGGCCCCCTTCTGTCCCGCCTCCAGCCCCCCCACCATCCGCCTATCCCTACCACCAACAATACCTTCCTGCTCCCCCTCCTCCTCTTCCTCCCCATTCTGCCCCACACTATCCTGGCTTAGCCCCTACTCCTCCTCCTCTTCCCCCCGGTCAACACTACCCGTATGGGGGAGGAGGAGAGGGGGGGTACCCGCCTCCTCCTCCTCTCCCCCCTGGTCTATACCCCAGTCCCCATCTTCCTCCTCCTCCTCCTCCTGCTTCCGCTGCCGGCCCCCCGTTTCCTCCTCCTCCTGCTCTCGCCCCTGCTGCATCTACTGATCCTGGTGCTACCGGTACTTACTTAACAGAAGAGGAAAAAGGCAGGGGATTGGCGTCGGTGTTTAAGAGATTTACTCCGGAGGAAGAGGAGGCGAGGAGGAGGGAGGGGAGGGGGAGAGTGGGAGAGGGGAGGGAGAAAGGGAAGGATCCGAATGCTCTAGGGGGAGGGGGGTATGACGAGTGCTATCAGCGGGGGGATGGGGGGAACTTTGCGGGAGAGGTTGTGGAGAGTGACGAAGAGGAGGGTGATGAGCTGGCACGGAAAGTGGAAGAGGCTAGGCAGGTGAGTGTTTCGAAGGGAGTGTCTTTTTCTGTTGAGGTCAGTCAGTTTTTCTAGTAGAGGTGGTGCAGGGGAGGTGGTGGAGAGTGACGAGGAGACTTCTGAGTCGACTCAAAAGTCAAAAGTCAACTTTTGAGTCGACTCAAAAGTCAGTGTTTCCAATAGAGGTGGTGCAGGGGAGGTTGTGGAGAGTGACGAGGAGGAGGGAGATGAGCTAGCTCGGAAAGTGGAAGAGGCGAGGCAGGTCAGTACTCTGAAGGAACTCTTGTCTAGAATCTTTGGTCTTTGACTTTTGAGGCGCCTCAAAAGTGGTAATGTGCGGCGCCTCAAGAGAAGGGGAGGGATCCGAATGCGCTGGGGTGAGGGGGGTATGACGAGTGTTATCAGCGGGGGGATGGGGGGAACTTTGCGGGAGAGGTTGTGGAGAGTGACGAAGAGGAGGGTGATGAGCTGGCACGGAAAGTGGAGGAAGCAAGCCAGGTGAGTGTTTCGAAAGGAGTCCTGATTTGGCTCTAGTTTTGAGGGCCGTGTGTGTTTAAAGGGCAAACTGGGATGCGAAGCGAGGCTTTTCATTGTCTTGAAGCGAGTCCCCTCCCCCCACACCCCACTCCCCCTTTTTCTTATTTCACCTCAAAATCAGCCCACTAATCAAACTTTCTGCTCCACTCATCGCCCCATTCCCCACCTTATCCTCCCCTCTTCCCCATACTTTCTGCTCCCCCTCCTCCCTTACCCATCTTACTCCTCCATCTTATACCACCAGTTGGCTCAGGTGCAGGACATGTTTCACGGAGGCGATGATGATGATGATGATGAGGATGGTGGTGTTGGTGATGGTGCAGATACATGTGCATCCAAGGAAAGGAAGGAGAGACAGAGACTGCATTCCTCCTTGTTCTGTCTCCCCCCTACCCCCCCCCTGCAATCCACCAGTTGGCTCAGGTGCAGGACATGTTTCACGGGGACGACGATGATGATGATGATGGTGGTGGTGCATCTAAGAACAAGGAACAGGACAGAGAGACCGTATGGCCCTCCTTCCCTCCCCACGCCGCATCCCCCTCCCCCTGCCAATCCCCCCCCTCCAATCCACCAGCTGGCTCAGGTACAGGACATGTTTGATGGGGATGAGGATGATGATAAGGATGAGGATGATGCTGGACCTGGTGCATCCAAGGACAAGGAGCGGGACAGAGAGAGAGACCACTTATCCCTCATTGTTCCCGCCCTCCCCCTCTCCCCTCCAATCCACCAGCTGGCTCAGGTACAGGACATGTTTGATGGGGATGAGGATGATGAGGATGGTGCTGGTGTTGCTGGTGCATCAAAGGACAAGGAAAGGAACTGCATCCTTCTCACTTCCCGTCCCACCTTCTCACCCCTCCCCCACCCCCTCCCACTTTACCAGTTGGCTCAGGTACAGGACATGTTTCACGGGGATGAGGATGATGATGACGATGAGGACGATGCTGGTGCTGATACCTATGCATCTCTCCCACTCCCCCACTCCCAATCCACCAGTTGGCTCAGGTGCAAGACATGTTTCATGGGGACGAGGATGATTGATGGTGCCGGTGCTGATACCTGTGCATCTCTCCCACTCCCCCACTCCCCAATCCCACTCCCACCAGTTGGCTCAGGTGCAAGACATGTTTCATGGGAACGAGGATGATTGATGGTGCTGGTGCTGATACCTGTGCATCTCTCCCACTCCCCCACTACCCAATCCCACTCCCACCAGTTGGCTCAAGTACAGGACATGTTTCACGGGGACGAGGACGATGATGACGATGAGGATGGTGCTGGTGCATCCAAGGACAAGGAACGGGACAGAGAGGCAGCAGAGAAGGGCACAGGCGGGGGCAGGAGGTCGAAGCAGGGGCAGGAGGGCGAGGGGAGGAAGGGGCGGAAGAAGGAGAAGGATCGGCAGCAGAAGCTGAATAATGAGCTGAATCAGATCAACAAGATTATTGAGAGGAAGAAAAGGGAAGCGGCTGGGGAGGTGGTGGAGGAGGAGGAGGAGTATGGGGATGAGGATGGAGGAGGGCCGTATAAGAAGTCCCGATACTAGGCACGTAGCAGGGAGGGGGAGGAGGAGGAGGAGTATGGGGATGAGGATGGAGGGCCTTATAAGAAGTTCCGGTACTAGGCACGTAGCAAGGAGGGGGAGGAGGAGAAGGAGCAGAACCAGAGGCTGAGTGGTGGGGCAAGAGGAGTATGGTGATGGGAGTATGGGGATGGGAGTATGGGGATGGGAGTATGGGGATGGGAGTATGGGGATGGGAGTATGGGGATGGGAGTATGGGGATGGGAGTATGGGGATGGGAGTATGGGGATGGGAGTATGGGATGGGAGTATGGGATGGGAGTATGGGGATGGGAGTATGGGGATGGGAGTATGGGGATGGGAGTATGGGGATGGGAGTATGTGGATGGGAGTATGGGGATGGGAGTATGGGGATGGGAGTATGGGGATGGGAGTATGGGGATGGGAGTATGGGGATGGGAGTATGGGGATGGGAGTATGGGGATGGGAGTATGGGGATGGGAGTATGGGGATGGGAGTATGGGGATGAGCATGGAGGATGGCCAAGAAGTCCCGATATTAGCATGTAGCAGGCGGAAGGAGAATTGTGTTGTGAGATGAAGTGGCTGGCTGGTAGAGAGGAAGAGGGAGGGAGTTGTTGTGTGAGGCCGCCGGGGAGGTGACGGGGAGTTGAAATGGAAGGTGGTGGGTGAGGTGGTTGGGTGGGAGGAGTACGGTATCCCCTTAAAAGGAGTTTGGCTGGTGGTTCACGTGGATAGGAAGGGAAGGGAGGACAGGTTGTTCCACCCGTGTGAAAGGCGGGACGGTGATAGTGCGCTTTCTTGGAATTCTATCTTCATCAGTCTATCTAGGCTGTTGCTATTCATTTGCATGCTGCTTTGTGAGTGCGAGATTTCATTTTTCAGTATATTTTCTTCTGATATCATGCTGTGAGAACGGGATGCTTGTTTGATACATACGGTATATGCCGGTCGAACCTTCTCAGACTGGTAAGGTAAACACTAACCATGTTCTGTCCATCTAATGCTGACAGACTAACACCCTCGACGCCCCTGCTCTAACATCAACATTCCAAACACATCACTGAACTTTCTGTATCCCTCAGCTTTGCTGCAAGAATCAAGAGCTTTACTTTTGAGTCGACTCAAAAGACTCGAGAGCTTTAGACAGTGGTAGTTCCCACCCCCTCCCCTCCACCTCCCCCTCCTGTTGCTGCTGCTGCTGCTGCTGCAAGTTGCCGTTCCCGCCGCTCCCTTGCTCTCGCAGCGCCCGCTTTCCATCTCGCCCGTCTCTCCTCATCCCGTCGCTCCATATCCCTCAACCTTGCTGCAAGGCTCAAGAGCTTTAGACAGTAGCTCCCACCCCTTCCCCTCCCCTTGTTCCTGCTCCTGCTGCTGCTGCTAGTTGCCTCTCCCGCCACTCCCTTGCTCTTGCAGCGCCAGCCTTCCATCTCGCCCGCCTCTCCTCATCTCTTCGCTTCAAAGCCTCCTTCTTCTGCTCCTTCACTTTCTGCCACTGCTCCTGCTTGCCACAAGAGGGTGGATAACCAGGGATGGGAGAGAGAGGGCATGGGAGAGAGAGGGCATGGGAGAGTGGATGAGAGCACAGACATCCACTTGATGTGGCCCTCTTCCTCCCGTCGCTTCAGAGCCGCCTTTTTCTGCTCCTTCACCTTCTGCCGCTGCTCCTGCTTGCGTCAATGGAAGATGGGATAAGGAGAAGTGGGAGAGGGCAGGGAAAAGCGGTTGAAACTACAGCCTTCCATCTCGCCTGTCGCTCAGCATCTCATCTCAAGCCTCCTTCTTTTGCTCCTTCACCTTCTGCCACTGCTCCTGCTTTGCAACAAATGGAGAGCAGGGGAAGGAAACGGAGATGAAAACCTCCAACTTTTCTTCAAACATCTTTGTACCAGTGCCTACACCCAACCACTAACCCACCCAATCCCCCCTTCCTTACCCCACTCACCCATCCACACACCCACCCACCCATCCACCCACCAACCCCAACCCATCTAAAAAAAATGCTGGCATTGCAGCATGCGCTTCCTTTGGTTCCTGCCTCCCACGCTGCCAGAATTGGGCTGCAACACTCCCACCCACCCATGCACCCACCCACTCACCCATGCAACTCCATCCCCTCTCCCCCACCTTCCCCATCCACCCACAAACGCACCTTGATGAACAGCTGGCGCTGCCTCATGCGGTGCCTCTGGTTCCTGCCTCCCACGCTGCCAGCATTGGGCTGAGACGCTGGCACCCACTCAACCACTCCCAGCACCCACCAACCCACCCACCCACCCACCCAACCCAACCCAACCCAACCCAACCCAACCCAGCACAGCCCAACCCAACCCAACCGAAACCAACCACCAACCCTTGCATCCCGCCTCCCCCCACACAACCACAAACGCACCTTGATGAACAGCTGGCGCTGCAGCATGCGGTGCCTCTGGTTCCTGCCTCCCACGCTGCCAGCATTGGGCTGAGACGCTGGCACCTGCTCCGCTCCCTGCGGCACCTTCACCATCACCCATGGGTCTGATGGAAGGGGAGGAGGGGGAAGAAGGTAAGACAAGGGCGGGGGAAAGGGGATGAAAAGGGGGGTGGAGGGGAAGGGCAAAACGAGCGCAAAGGGGCGAAGGGAGGAGAAGAGAAGGATGACAGGGCTGAGTCTGGTTCCTGCCTCCCACACTGCCAGCATTGGGCTGAGACGCTGGCACCTGCTCTGCTCCCTGTGGCACCTTCACCATCACCCAGGGGTCTGTTGCATGGGTTACGGGTGTGGGGAGGGGAGGGGTAGGGGGGGGGGGGGGGGGGGTTGGGGGGGGTGGAGAGCGGCAGGAGAGGAAGTTGCAGGCGCATGCTAGCAATGGGCTGAGACACTGAGACACCGAGACACCGAGACACCGAGACACCGAGACACCGAGACACCGAGACACCGAGACACCGAGACACCGAGACACCGAGACACCGAGACACCGAGACACCGAGACACCGAGACACCGAGACACCGAGACACCGAGACACCGAGACACCGAGACACCGAGACACCGAGACACCGAGACACCGAGACACCGAGACACCGAGACACCGAGACACCGAGACACCGAGACACCGAGACACCGAGACACCGAGACACCGAGACACCGAGACACCGAGACACCGAGACACCGAGACACCGAGACACCGAGACACCGAGACACCGAGACACCGAGACACCGAGACACCGAGACACCGAGACACCGAGACACCGAGACACCGAGACACCGAGACACCGAGACACCGAGACACCGAGACACCGAGACACCGAGACACCGAGACACCGAGACACCGAGACACTGAGACACCGAGACACTGAGACACCGATATCTCCGTGATAAAAGTAGTGCTTTGAGACGTCTCAAAACACCACTTTTATCAGTGGGCTGAGACACTGATACACTGAGACACTGATATCTCCTCTGCTCGCTTGGGCGGCAAACATTTTGGCAAACGCTGGAAGGAATCTAAGCAAATGATTCCTCCCCGCCGTTCAGATTAGCTCCTTATCCGGGGAGTGTAATTTCCCCGTTCGCTCACTTTATTCCCCCCATCCGCGTACCTCCGCGCCACTTCTTCGCTCGCTTAGCGAATCCACGCGCTATAACGAGCCGCGACGCGCTGATGGGTTCATACACCGCCACGTGTTGCTGACTAGGCGCGGGAGCAAGTCCACGTGTCAAGAGGGACTGTGCTAGTGGAGAGGAGGTGCAGAATGACCTAGACGAGACTGCGGCCGGCGAATAGTGCGGAGGAGATCGCGGCGACGATTGCGACGGCGGTTGAGGAGAGAGGCTTGAGAAAAAAGAGGTGAACCGAGAAACGGAATGGCTGTTGCTGAATGCAGCGGCGGCAGCGGCGGTGGTGGCGGTGGCGGTGGTCGGAATGTAGGCGAGAGGGACGAACGGCGTAGATGCGCTAGCGCCAACGGCGGGGAGGTATGAGGACTGGAACGCACGGCAGAATCGCGACGCGAGCGATCCGCCGCCTCCTCGCATCTTGACAGGCGGCACGGACGCAGGAGATGCCGACGCTCAGATCGTCGCTCAGCCGTTGATGACCGTCAATCTATTTGTCTCGACGCACGGGAAGGGTGAATGGGAGGTCAAAACCTGTTGTGTTTTTGAGTGAGATATATGAACTTGATATTCGTTATCACCAACGTATGAAAATCACGTGTAGCTGGAGTACCACTCTTACAGCGAAACAGACAATTGCGGTGCTAGCATCTGACGCGAACCCTGGAACTCGAGAATGGACTGGGCAGAAATATGTTTGTTCTCCCAAGTCGCGGGCAAGGAACAGCTTCAGTCTTGAAGGCTGGCAGACTTCAATCCCCACGACTTTGCGTTTGCGTGCTGCCCCAACGTTTCCAAACCTCCATTCACGTTTCCTGCTTGCGCAAATTTCTTGGAGCCAATCTCAAACACGGCTCATGCCCGATTGGTTACGCCATCCCACGCCGCCAACGTGCTAGGCTTGCTTTACGAACCTCGGTTTTGTCGAACTGGTTCCCAGAGGCTCGGGTACCGGACTGAACCAGGCTGCTGGCGCGAAATATCCCGCCAAAACCGTGTCGAAGCTGAGCCCAGACTGTGCCGAAGCTATTTCACCTAATCAACAACCTCCATTTTCCTTGCGTACCTTTCTGACACCCTTCTCCAGCTAGTTGAGTTCGTAGCAGATGCATTGAATACTGGGCCTCCTGAAATAGTTTGCTCTGCAGAAGCAGTTCGCTTCCACGTTGAGTTTCCTGCCAGTCGGTTCCGCTTTTGGTTGCATGTCGACTCTGCCTGGCGTTCGTTTTGGGTTTCGCGGAGCCTTGCGTCGCGATAGGCAGGGTTTCTCATTTGTTTGACGCGGTCAAACCGTTGTGGTAGTGTGCCGGAGTGTCAGTATGCCAAGTTGTTCCACGTTATTCATTCTGGTTATCTAGGTTTTTTACCGACCAGGTTTTTTGTTCTAAAGCTTTTAGAAATTAGGCTTACAAGTCTCAACTTCAATCATGGCGGTAGACACAACTAGAGAAAGAGCGTTGCAGAAGCGGATTAAGGAACTGGAAGCAGGTTAGTTTCTCTTATAGCCGATGGTTTCCAGTCCCTTTTCCTTCTCTTGGCAGTGAAGAGGAAACAAACAGGTTATGCTGAACGTAAAGTAGGTCTTGCATATCTGGCACTTGTGCGTTCCATTTTTTTTTCTTTCATTGTTGCTCTAACCGTCCTCTTGTAGCTTCTTTCTCGTTTCGCCTCTTCTCACCGCTTCAGAACGAAAGCCTTCCTGCTCACGCTCTTCATACATAAATCCTGATCCTTGCTTCCGCCGTTTCCCCGTTCAACTCCTACCACATCGGTCGTACGCGTGGCAGAGCGCGATGAGCTTCAGAGAGACCTGGAGGGGATGTGTCTGCAGCAGGTGGGGAGTGCCGGAGCCGAAGACGCCATGGCTCGCATGCAGGCCAGAAGGTGAGCCGCAAGTTGAAGGGAGAGAGAGAGAGAAAAAAACAATTAAGGAAGGAAAAATAAGAAGAAAAAAAAAACGAGTACTGGGAGTTGCAACGAATGGGCTCGATATTCGAGAGAGGGTGACATGGAGACTGATGATCCTACTTGTAACAGGATTGCGTGTTACATATTGTTGTAACACGACTGTATTATCAAGGCTGTTAAAAAGATGGTGGAAGGGGAGGAAACCCTCTGTTTCTTTCAAATTCCGCTGTGGGTGGGCAACGTTTCTGTGCAGCTTGTAACAAAAATCATCTGTTCCATTCAACCTCTGTTACGATCATTCCGTCATTTCCCGGTTCTTGCGTTTTCAGGGTGGCCAACCTAGAAGCGGAGCTTGCCACGTGTCGCCACACGATTGCGTCGTTGGAGATGGAAATCGCGGACGTGCGGCATGACCTGCAGGACGCGGAGCAGAAGAAGGTGCGGGATGGGACAGTGACCCTTGTTTTTGCTTTAGTTGTTTTATCGGTCCGTTTTTTGTCTGTCATATTTGACGTTTTAAAATGCCTTCATCAACCTTCTCTGCCATGCCGTTTGCCTGTTGCTGGTTCTTGCAGGCAGGAGCTGCGGCCATGTGGAAGGAGGAACACAGCAAGGTGCGTTTCTCAATGGTTCATTGAATGACAGGGCTGCACGTAGCTGGGAAGGACAGGGCATGGCAGGGCATTGGAGTATATGGCATGGTATGAGGCGGCATGGCATGAGGTGGCATGGCATGATGTGGTATGGCATGAGGTGGCATGGCATGTTGTGGCATGGCATGAGGTGGCATGGCATGCGGTGGCATGGCATGATGTGGCATGGCATGAGGTGGCATGGCATGAGGTGGCATGGCATGAGGTGGCATGGCATGCTGTCTGCTAATGCTGATGCCCATCTCATTCCAGCACAATAGACGCCCACCCGTGACCCTGGAGCTCGAGCAGCTAAGAACAGCCAAGGCGGAGGCAGAGGCACTAGGGCACTAGGGCACAACCCCCGCGCCAGGGCACCACCCCCGCGCCAGGGCACCACCCCCGCGCCAGGGCACAACCCCCGCGCCAGGGCACAACCCCCGCGCCAGGGCACCACCCCCGCGCCAGGGCACCACCCCCGCGCCAGGGCACCACCCCCGCGCCAGGGCACAACCCCCGCGCCAGGGCACCACCCCCGCGCCAGGGCACAACCCCCGCGCCAGGGCACCACCCCGTGACTCTCTCTGCCATCCGTTTCTTCCCACCGTTGGCCCCACCCACCCGTTTCCTCTCTCCTTCTGAGTCGACTCAAAAGTCAATTCCCACCGATGGCCCCACCCACCCGTTTCCTCTCTCCTTCTGAGTCGACTCAAAAGTCAATTCCCACCGTTGGCCCCACCCACCCGTTTCCTCTCTCCTTCCCTCCCCACGTGCGTCCTTTCCCGTTTCAGCGGACAGCAGCAGAGGAGGAGGTGCGGTTTTACCAGCGACAAGCAGCCACAGCTTTGGAGCAGCGAGACCAAGTGACTCTGGAGCTGGAGCAGCTGAGAACCGCCAAGGCGGAGGGAGAGGCGCGAGCCAAAGGGGAGATAGAGCAGCTGCGGAAGGAGAAAGCGAGTGCTGCTGAAAAAAGCAGAGCCGAGATTGATAAGCTGATGAAGGAGAAGTGGGATTTGCTAGAGAGGGTGAAGGAGGCGGGTAGGCATGCTGCGGCGTTGGTTAAGCAGCAGGAGTTGGGGGATGAAAAGATTGAGGATGCGGAGAGGGGGAGGCGGGAGGCGGAGAGGGGAAGGGAGGAGGCGGAGAGGGAGCGGGAGGAGGAGAGGAGGGAGAGGGAGAGGGTGGAGGGGGAGAGGGAGGAGGAGAGGAGGGAGCGGGAGAGGGTGGAGAGGGAGAGGGAGGAGGAGAGGAGGGAGAGGGAGAGGGTGGAGAGGGAGGGGAAGGAGGAGGAGGGGAGGTTGAGGGAGGAGATAAGGAGGGAGAGAGAGGAGGGAGCGAGATTGAAAGAGGAGGTGGGGAGACTGAAGGAGGAGGTGGAGAGGAGGAGGAACGGTGCGAGGGAGTGGGAGGCGATGGGGAGGGAATCAGAGGGGCAGGTGACTCATGCAAAAGCGGAAGCGGCATCGATAGCTGCAGCAGCTGCTGCTGCGGTGGAGGCAGAGCGAGAGAAAGGGTTGCGGGAGAGGGAGGAGATGCACAAACGACTGATGGAAGTGCAGAGGCAGCTGGAGAGAGAGCGGGAGGAGAGGAGGAGGAGGGGAGGTGGAGGGGGTGGAGGAGGAGAAACGGGAACAGGCAGAGCGCCAAAGAACATGCCTCAAGAAAGGGGAACTGAGGAATTTTCCCCGAAAGAACGAGGCCTGGATGATCTAGAAAAGGATTTCTTCTCTAGCAAGAGTTTCTTGGCTTATGGCAAGGACCCATATGGGGCATCAAAGGACTCGTATGAGGCATCTAGGGATCCGTATGGGGAGGAGCCGACAGAGGAGATGCTGTCCCAGGCGATGAGGGAGAAGGTGCAGGCGCTGGTGATGCTGGCCGCGGAGGAGGAGCGGCACCTGCGGGACTCGCAGCTGGTGGGGAGCCTCAGGGAGACCATTGCTGGGCTCAATGCGACGCTGGGGCAGGTGAGAATTGGGGTAGGGAGCTCCTGAGGCAAGAGAGTGGCAGGGGCGATGAGGGAGAAGGTGCAGGCGCTGGTGATGCTGGCCGCGGAGGAGCGGCACCTGCGGGACTCGCAGCTTGTTGCTGGGTTGAGAGAGACCATTGCTGGGCTGAACGCCACTCTGGGGCAGGTGAGAACTGGGGTAGGGTGGGAGCTGCTGGGGTAGAGGGTGGGGTGGGAGCTGCTGGGGTAGAGAGTGGGAGCTGCTGGGGTGGGGAGCACCTGAAGCAAGAGAGGTAGAGGGGCGATGAGGGAGAAGGTGCAGGCGCTGGTGATGCTTGCTGCCGAGGAGAAGTGGAGAGGAGATGAGCGGCCGGATTTATTTTTATGCCGGTGAATCCCCCGTCTCTCTCTCTCTCTCTCTCCATGTGCCGTTCATGTGTTCATCTTCTCTGGCTTTGGCTCCCAGGTGACCGCTGAAAAAGTGAAGGCGCTGATGCAGCTGGCGGACACGACGGCAGAGGCACAGCAGCTGAGGGACGAGATGGTAACCCTTGTGCCTGATTTTCCCTCTATCCTACCTTGCTCCCATTCTCACTCCCAGGTGACCGCAGAGAAGGTGAAGGCGCTGATGCAGCTGGCGGACACGGCAGCAGAGGCGCAGCAGCTGAGGGACGAGATGGCAGCGCTGCAGCAGGAAGTGCGGAAGCGAGACGAGATCATTGCTAGAGAGTGAGTCCTTTTCTTATTCCCTACTTTTGAGTCGACTCAAAACTAGAGTGAGTCCTTTTCTTATTCCCTACTTTTGAGTCGACTCAAAACTAGAGTGAGTCCTTTTCTTATTCCCTACTTCCTTCCTCTTCCCTGTGTCCTCCTTTTTTTTAATATTTTTATTGATTTTTTTTTTTTTTTCCTGGAATAGAGTCAAGGTCATTGTGTTAGAGTATTCACTCCTCCTCGCCCTCTCACCACCCAGCCTCCTCCAAATCAAACCCATTTTCTCCCGGCTCCCCCCCCCCCTCTCCAGCTCCCTCCCCTGGCAGAGCGCGGAGACAGCAGGGGTGTGGTCCGCCGGGTCAGAGAGCACCATGATTCCCGCCCTCTGGTCCTCCTCGCCCTCTCACGACCCGTTTGACAGCAGCGCTGACCCTCTCCTCACCTTCCCCCCCCCCTTCCTTCCCCAGCTCCCTCCCCTGGCAGAGCGCGGAGACAGCAGGAGTCTGGTCTGCCGGGTCAGAGAGCACCATGATTCCCGCCCTCTGGTCCTCCCTTCCCTTCTCACGACCCATTCTCCCCTCTTGGCTTCCTCCTTGCCCCCAGCTCTCTCCCCTGGCAGAGCGCGGAGACAGCAGGGGTGTGGTCCGCCGGGTCTGAGAGCACCATGATTCCCGCCCTCTGGTCCTCTGTCCTCTTCTCACAGCCCTTCCTCCCCTCTCTGCTTCCCCTTTCCCCCCAGCTCCCTCCCCTGGCAGAGTGCAGAAACTGCAGGGGTGTGGTCCGCAGGGTCAGAGAGCACCATGATTCCCGCCCTCCGGTCCTCCTCGCCCTCCGGTCCTCCTCGCCCTCCGGTCCTCCTCGCCCTCCGGTCCTCCTCGCCCTCTCACGACCCCTTTGACAGCATCGCTGACCCTCTCCTCCCCTCCCCTCCCCTTTCCCCCCAGCTCCCTCCCCTGGCAGAGCGCGGAGACAGCAGGGGTCTGGTCTGCCGGGTCAGAGAGCACCATGATTCCCGCCCTCTGGTCCTCCTCGCCCTCTCATGACCCGCTCACCTCTATCTGACACCCACCTAACTCCTCCCTCCCTGCCTGCTCCTTGCCCCCAGCTCCCTCCCCTGGCAGAGTGCAGAAACAGCAGGAGTCTGGTCCGCCGGGTCTGAGAGCACCATGATTCCCGCCCTCTGGTCCTCCTCGCCTTCCCACGACCCGTTTGACAGCAGCGCTGGCTCCGAGTATGGGGGGCTTGGAGGGGCGGGGGAGGGAGGAGCTGGGGGGGGCGGCGGGGGTGTGTATGGCGGCATGATGGCTATGGGAGGGGGGTTGCAGGGGCTGTACGGAGCAGCAGGAGGGGGAGGGGGAGGGGGAGGTGGAGGGGGAATGGGGACAGGGGTTATTGACGTGCCACAGTATTCAATGCAGTATCAGTATCAGAATCAGAATCAGAATCAGAATCAGTTTAACAGCCGGTCGCCGGGTTTTGGGAGGAATTTTGTGCCTCCTCCTTCGATCAACGTGAGCCGGTCGCGACAAAGCTCCTTCCACTCGGAAAGCAGCTTTGGAATGGGCGGAGGAGGAGGAGGCGGAGGGGGAGGAGGAGGGGGAACGGGGGGGGGAGCAGGCCCAGGGTCAGCAGGGGCAGCACCAGCAGGATTCTCCATATTCGGTCTCTTTAGGGGTGTCGGGGGGAGGGGTACAGGGGGAGGTGCGACTGGGGCAGGCGGGGGAGGGGGAGGCGGAGGGGGAGGGATAGGGGGAGGAGGGGGAAGCGGGGGATCGGCGTATCTGACGAATGGGAGCAGCAGGGGGAGCACTCCTAGGGGCGAGATGGAGAGGGAGAGAGAGAGGGTGACCCCATCAGTGGTGGCGAGACTAAGGGTGGATATAGCAGCTCTTGAAGAGGCTCTTGCAACAATTGAGCAGATCGCACAAACCTCCTCTGAAATGCGCTCGTCCCTCGCTCAGGTGAGTGTCTGTCCTTGGGAAGGCGTGGTTTATGGCCGAGAGAGTGACGCCTAGAGGGTGGCGCCGTCGGTGGTGGCGAGGCTGAGGGTGTGGATATAGCGGCACTAGAAGAGGCTCTGGCAACAATTGAGCAGATTGCTCAAACCTCGTCAGAAATGCGCTCGTCCCTGGCTCAGGTGATTTGCTCTACGAGGGGAGGGATTGGCCTATAGACAAGTGAGGGGGTGACGCCTAGAGGGTAACGCCGTCGGTGGTGGTGAGGCTGAGGGTGGATAAAGTGGCGCTAGAAGAGGCTCTAGCAACGATTGAGCAGATCGCACAGACTTCAGCCAACATGGGCTCGTCCCTGGCCCAGGTGCGTGGCTTTACGGGGGAAGGATGGGCCTGCCTTTAGAGGGTGCGAGGCTGAGGGTGGATAAAGCAGCACTGGAAGAGGCTTTGGCAGCGATTGAGCAGATCGCACAGACCTCGTCTGAAATGCGCCCATCTTTCGCCCAGGTGAGGTGCCATAACAGTCGAGCACCACGGAAGGAGGCAGGAAGGGGAGCCCATTTTTAGCATTTTTTATATCTGCTTTCCTCTCTCCAATTGCAGGGCCTGGAGCAGATTCTTTCATGCAACAAGACCAAAGAGCCGAAGAAAACTGCTGCTAGGCCGACGACTTCCTCTCTCTCGCTCTTCTCGCCCTCGTCCAAGGCCCACTTTCAAGGGCAAAGAAGGATCAGTGGGCTTTCTTCCTCCTCCCCCTCTGGTCACTCCAGCCAAAGCAAACAGGGCCATTTAGCCACGCACCATCCAGCAGACAGTGCAGGTGCTGCTGCTAGTACTAACCGGGATTCTAGTGACGCAGATGCCATCACCAGCAGCGGAAGCAGCAGCAGCAGCAGCAGCAGCAACTCGGCTTCGGCCCCTGCATCGAATGATTCGGCTATTGTTGCAACGGTTACTGCTTGTTTGGTTACCGCCACTACCACCACCACAACCACCATGACCACTACCACTGCCGGTGCTGCTGCAGGCACAGCTGTTACAGAGCTGAATTTGGACAAGTCTTTTTGGGCCAAAGTAGAGTCAGTTGAGGAGGAAGCACGGCAGATGAGGATAGTGTTTGGAGCAGCCGCACATTTGCCAATCAGTTGGAATGCAGGGGGGTCGGGAGGAGGGCGGATGGGTGGGGGAAGGCATGGGATACCTGCTGAGAGGGCAGGTGAGGTTGTAGCCTCGGTTGGGCTGGAAATTGCCGAGTTTGCCCTCGTGGTGGTGGGGTTGCTGCGGCCGGTGCAAAAGGGTTTCTAGGTTTGGAAATTGGGGTAACTTGTGGGTGTTAATCACTGTAGCAGCAGTGGTGGTTCAGTAAGTAACCCTAAACCATGCAGGTGGTTCTGGTCATGGTTTTAAGTAGACTGCCCTTTGGCAGTAGGGTAAATTCTGGAGTTTGCCCCTGTGGCAGCAGCAGCAGGATTGGCTCGCCCTGCCAGCAGACAACCACATGTATCTTAACAAATGTTTTAACTATATACTTAATGCTTCATAACGGGAGTATTATTTCAATGCTGTTTCGCTTTGGTGTTCCAGTGTTGCCTATACGTGAGCAACTAAGAAGGGGAGTGATTCTGCCTGGTGCAGGGCACATCAGCTTGGCATGATGATACGGTATCACCCATCCCTCACACACACCCCAACACTATGCAGGTTGCTGTTATAACGAGGATAGTGTAGACACAGGCCTACATTAGTGCAAAACATGTGCAAAATTGTATCAGCAACATCTAAGGCAGCAGGATATGTTCCTTAGGAAGTAATTTACGGTAGGTAATTTTTATTTTTTTAGTATGATTTGCCGCAGTGAATCAGACTGCCTGCACCTAGGAACAAACCAAACACAGCTGCACTCCACAATGTGGTCTGGCCTATGTACCGAACCTTGAGCAGGCCCGGAACCTGGTAGGTTCGGCAGTGGGACGGAATACAAAGGAACAGCGGGACATGAGAAAAGATGCAATGTGGCTGCAGACTGCTATGCTATCCAATTTTGAGATGTCTGGAAATTCAGTTACAGGGTGCCAGTGCTATTGTGTTATCAGCCTAAATGGAACGTCCAGAGAAGGGGATAGTGAAAAATGAAGAACGGGAGAATAGAAGATGTGGACAGCGGGGAGGGAGGTTGAGGGGAGAGGGATGAGAAGGGGTTGAGTGCGGGTTGGAGGATGAGAGTGGGGTGGGGGGAGTGAAAAGGGCACGCTCGAATGGAAGCAGGGAAAGTGAGAGAGGAGAATGTGGAAGGTGCAAGGAGCTGACCGGGAAGGAGCACGGCTTGGCTCTTATATTATGGCGCAGGTCACAGACTGGGCCCCATGACGCTTCATTTATCCCCCATATGAAGTTATCCGCTATGTGGATTTCCTCCCCCATATAGAGTTTATCCCCCATATAATGTGCTTCGTATCACATATTTAAGTCACCTTGAAAACAAATACCTTGCTAGTGACGTACCTTGTATCTGAACGCTTCGTATGTCCCGTACATGGCTCCTGCAAGGAGAAGGGCGAGGAGATGTGAGGCAAGAGGAAGACAAATGAAGAGAAGTGAAGAGAGGAGAAGAACCTTTAAATCTGAACGATTCGTATGTCTCGTACATGGCTCCTGCACGGAATCGAGAGGAGAAACGCGAGGAGATTTGAGACAAGAGGTAAGGAAAGAGAAGGCAAGAGAAGAGACGAGAAAAAGGGAGGGAATAAGAGCAAGGAAGTGAAGCGAAGAGAAGAGAAGAGTGGCTTCTCACCAATCGCGCCGCCAACTGCGCCGCCGACGGCGACTCCAGCGATGACCCGGTTCATGCACCGATCCATGGCTGCTTGTATGCGCTGGTACGTACTGGTGCGTACTGGTGCGTACTGGTACGTTCTGGTACGTGGTAGTACCCTAGTGGTACGTGCTGGTATGTGCTACCGGTATAACCAAGAGTTATGGTAAGGTAATAATCGGGGGGTAGGCGACGGCCGACAGCTGTCACACTAAATCCGGGCTGGGTAATCCCAGAACACGACGGGACGAGATTTCACGAGGTTTCACGAGGAGCCGCGCGTCGAAGTGGAGTCGATCGCTACGAGCAATGAAAAGCGACTCCAACGAGCAACTTGTCAGTCGAGTCGAATCGAGCGCCGCACCGCACGGCGTATAAGGCGAGATCTGACCTCGTTTTAACAAAGACGCGAGATTCGACAATTTCCTTCCTAAAAAAATCGTGAAAATCGGTGTTGTTGAGCTGAGCTCGAAAGGCCGATAAGTTCGTGTGGCGTACAGCCGGGCTGTATCGAGGCCACGAAAAAAACAATATACGATACAAGGCGTAGGAATCTAAGACTACAAGAATATGATCCCTAGTCAAGCGTAGAAGACGGCCTTTCTATGGTTTAGCTGGTCTTCCAGTCTTTCACCCAAGAACTTGGTGTTGAGGGCGTATTTTATAAAGGAATCAGGATGGACCGTCCAAGAATGTGGGGGCTCGGTTCGTGTTGCATGTCATAATAATGCAAGAATAGCTCTTACCGAGCGGGAAGCAATGAAACGTTGTTGAGTTTGTCACTGGTAATAGATATCTGCTTTGTCCTATAATACCGAGTTCAATAATAACGAGAAATTGCTCACCACCAAGCCAATCCAGCCTCCTTACCTTCCAACAGTAACTAAAATTTCCTGCTAATTAGGTCTCCTAGAAAATAGGTCTTTAATCTACTTGTCCAAAAAATTTCCGCTATGGCTCATCCGTTATCCGATGCCGCTGTTCCCTTGGATTTCGCGGACGCGGATCCGTTTAGTTCCGAAGACGCTGACTTCGCTCAAGCCTTAGAGGACGACCTTTGGAATGGAGACGAGGAATCTAAAAGCGAGGATGAAGACAACGGAGACGACGGTTGTGGCAAGGATCCGGGATTTGAAGACGGATCGGACGGTGATGCGGATGACGCGGACAGATCTGACGGCGAGGGCGAGAGAGATTTTCAACGGGGTGAAGGGAAGCGAGGAACCTTGAGGGTGAGTTACCGTTTGTACAATTTGTAGCACAAAAATTTGTTGGTCATTTATGAATTCGTTAATTTTGGTCTTCATTTTTTTTATTCCGATTTCTGTTTTCATTTTCCTTGCGCTACTTGCCTTGTATCGATTTGCAGGATATCGACGTCTGTGCGGCTGACGACAACAATAACGAGACACCCCATAACAAGTCGGACAGCAATTCCGGAGACGAAGAAAACAGCAGATCGCAGAAGAAGAGGCGGATGGAACACGAAGAAGGCGACGAAGAAAGCCAGCCAACAGGCTCTGCCGGCCCTTCGGGGATTGAGATTCCCAAGCCCGCGATTCATTTCGGGGACCCGCAATTCACGGGGAGTCTCGGCCTGCTTCCGCCGGAGCTCTACCACCACGTGCTTAAATTCCTGTCCGCGGAGGTACGCAGGAGGAGATGGGGGAGGGGGGAAAGGTGGGGGGGGAAAGGGGGGTGGGGGGAGGGATGTGGAAGACGGTGGTTGCTGCGCCTACTGCATACGATGGGGGCCGCCTCCGCTCCCGCCTCTCAACCCCCCTGCTCCAACCACCCCCCTCCCCTCCCCCCCCCCCCCCCCCCCCCTTTTTTTTTCAGGACCTATCGGTGTGTGCGTGTGTGTGTCGCTACCTCCGCACCGCATCATCCGAGAGGACCCTCTGGCGCCGCGCCTACTGCATCCGGTGGGGTCCCCCTCCCCCTCTGCTCCTCACTCCCCCCTCTCTCCCCGTACCCCCCTTGTTCTCCCCACCAGGACCTATCGGTGTGTGCGTGTGTGTGTCGCTACCTCCGCACCGCATCATCCGAGGAGACCCTCTGGCGCCGAGCCTACTGCATTAGATGGGGGCCCCCTCCCCCTCCGCCCCTCACTCCCCCCACTCCCTGCTCTCCCCGTGCCCCCGCTTTTCTCCCCGTCAGGACCTGTCAGTGTGTGCGTGTGTGTGTCGCTACCTCCGATCCGCATCATGCAGGAGACTCTTTGGCGCCGCGCCTACTGCATCCGATGGGGGCCGCCTTCCCCTCCTCCCACTTATCCCCACTCCCCTCCCTTACCCCCTGCGCACCCGCATGCCCCCCTCTCCCCCAACACCCCCCCCCACCAGGACCTCTCGTGTTTTGAGACGTCTCAAAACACCCCCTGCGCACCCGCGTGCCCCGCTCTCCCCCAACACCCCCCCCACCAGGACCTCTCGGTGTGTGCGTGTGTGTGTCGCTACCTCCGCACCGCATCCTCTGAAGAAAACCTCTGGCGCCGAGCATACTGCATCCGATGGGGGCCGCCTCCCCCCCCTCCGCCCTCCTCCACCCGCTCTGTTTTGGACGGACGAGGCGGGTCGGGCGGGATGGGGGGAGGGGGAGGAGGAGGGGAAGGAAGTGGAGGAGGTGGGGGAGGAGCAGGAGGAGGAGGGGCAGCAGGAGCACAAGCACGTAGCCATTGGAAACGTCTGTATTTTGAGGTGCGTTTTTTGCCTTTTGCGTTTGAGCAGGCCTTTTGCCTTTCAATGATTTTCATTCGACAAAACCATTCCTGTGTTTAACCCCACTATTCTCTGAGGGACCGCGAGGCGAAATGAAGGAGTTTGTAGCCGATTCCCCTCAGGACTTACGAGGCTTCTACGCGCAGCTGCAGACAGCAAAACGTAACCTGGTGCCCCTTATTTACTCCATCCCCAAACCCACCCAATGTTTTCTCAGAAGGACAGAGGCGAAATGAAGGAGTTTGTTGCTGATTCTTCTCAGGACCTGAGGGGCTTCTACGCCCAGTTGCAGGCAGCCAAACACCACACAAGCGCAACCTGGTGCCCAGGCGCGACCAGGTGTACGATGAATGAGCTGGTTCATTTTTCTACTCCCTTTCTTTCTATTCCCACGGTGTGTTGCAGAGGGACCGGGGCGAAATGAAGGAGTTTGTAGCGGACTCCCCTCAGGACCTGCGGGGATTTTATGCCCAGCTGCAAGCTGCCAAGCGCAACCTGGTGCCGCGGAGGGACCAGGTGTACGATGAGCTGGTCCACGTCACGTCTGACCTGGCACGAGCTGTCGCGGAGTGGCGCCAGCAGAACAAGCTACCAGAGAGGGTGGAGGAAGCGCATCGGTGCACTGGGGGCAACTGCACGTTTCACCGCATTGAGAATGTTTTCCTGTGCGAGAAGACAGGCAGGGCGCATGGTGAGTGTTGGAGAAACGAGGCTAGAAGGTATGAGTGTGTGTGTTAGAGGGTGGCGCCAGCAGAACAAGCTGCTAGAGGGGGTGGAGGAAAGCACATCAATGCACTGGGGGCAACTGCATGTTTCACCGCATCGAGAATGTTTTTATGTGCGAGAAGACAGGCCAGGCGCATGGTGTGTGTGTGGGTGGAGCTCATGGGAGAAGGAGAGGAGTGCAGACGGCAGGTGGACGAGCTTCAGCATGCACTTGGTGCTGTCAGTTGTGCCCTGTAAAAGGAGTCGCCAATCTGATAGGTGCAAGTAGGTGGTTGTTGCAAGCTGTTGAAACGATTTGCAGTATTTAGGTCAAGCACGGCAAAGCACCCCACATGCATACAAGATTGTTTCAACAACAGCTTGTGACAGCTATCCACTTTCACCTATCAGCCTGGTCACTACTGTTCCAGAGCGTGCCTGACTGGCAGCATCAAGTGCTTGCTGAAGCTCATCCACCTGTTGCCTGCACTCCTTGCGCGCCTTCTCTAACTCCTCTTGCTTTCACAAAATTAAAGTGGTGGCATAGAAAAGGGCATTCACAGTGAGGGCGGGGCCAAAAGACCAGATTGAGACCCAACTTTTGCGCATCCCCCCTCTCTCGTGTGTGTCAGTGCCTGTGCATGCTCCAATTGCTGTTGCTCTGTCTTAGCACCACCACTTGCGTTTTTTCCTAGCTCATTCCCAGTGGGTGAGACTGTGATGTCTACTGTGTAGGGCTGTTAGTGGACGTGAAAGGCAGATGCTTGGTTGCTGTGGCCCCTACATGCTCTCACAGTCTCCCCTCTCCCCTCATTCCCAGTGTGTGATGACAACTGCGCTGAGCTGCCAGAGGACGCAGAGGGTCAGATGCTCGTGTGTGCTATTGGCCAACATCTGCCTGTGTCCCCCTGCCTACCCCTCCTGCCCACCTCCATCCCTATCTTTCCCCCCACTCTCCCAGTGTGTGACGACAACTGTGCAGAGCTGCTAGAGGACGCAGAGAGCCCGACGCTCGTGTGTGCCATCAGGCACATATGCGCGTGTTCCCCCTGCCTGCCCTTTGTCTACCACCTTCCTGTTCCGTCTCCCCTCATTCCCAGTGTGTGACGACAACTGTGCGGAGCTCCTAGAGGACGCAGAGAGCCAGATGCTCGTGTGTGCCATCAGCGGGCGGTGTGTGGACCGCATGTTGAGCCCTCAAGAGGAGTTCGACCACCAGAGGGTGAGTGTGGAAAAGGTTGCCTGTCCGTGGGGCATGTGTGTGTGTTGCACGTGTGTGTGGGCGGGACGGTGTGTGGATCCCATGCTCAGTCCCCTAGAGGAGTTGAAACACCAGAGGGTAAGTGGGATCATGATTTCCTGTCCGCGGTTGCCGTGCCTTTCAATCTTCATTACATGCATCCTCTCTCCTCCACCTTCCACTCCACGTCACCATATGTGACCGCATCACCTCGTGTTTTCTTCTTCTTTTTTCACCTTCGTGTGACTGTATCGCAGGCTGCAGAAGAGGCAGCGTCCACATGCCAGCCAGAGGAGCTACAGGAGCCCTTTATGGGAGCGGGGAGGTTTGGTGAGTAAGAGCGTTGTTGTAGCAAGTTGAGTTTTGAGGCGCCTCAAAACGTGAGGCGCCTCAAAACAAGAGCGTTGTTGTGGCAAGCTGTCAGAAGTCCCAACAATTCTGAAGTATTGTTTCTTGTAGCAAGCTTTTCCATGTGTTAGGCTTCTGTTTGAAGGAAGCGTCCGCTAAACCTTTTTTTTGTTTTTGTTTTTTTTGTTTTTGTTTTTTTTTTTGTGCTCCTTCTTCCAGGACGGGCATTTGTGGCGGGCTATTACTCCAGCAGTGAGAGGGACCTGCATGAGAAGCAATGGTAGGCAGCGTGTTGTGGCCTGGGATGGCACAGTATGGCACGGTATGGCACGGTATGGCATGGTATGGCATGGTATGGCATGGTGTGATGTGGCATTTGAGCCTACAGGAGAGCATTTGTGGCGGGCTATGACTCCAGCAGTGAGAGGGACCTGCATGGGAAGGAATGGTACGCATGCCGTGGCATGGTGTGGACTAGGATAGCACTGTATGGCACAGCTTCGACACTGCATGGCACAGCTTCGACACTGCATGGCACAGCTTCGACACTGCATGGCACAGCTTCGACACTGCATGGCACAGCTTCGACACTGCATGGCACAGCTTCGACACTGCATGGCACAGCATGGCACGCTGTGTATAATTTGAAGGCTGACTTGTGTAGAGTAGTGTCAGCTGCATGCTTCACTCCCCTTAAAAAAATCCCTAAAGCACTTCTTGTTTCCTTTTGCCTTGCCCTCATGCCAGGTCGCTTTGCGGCTTCTAGCTTTCCACTCGGCCCCTTGTTTTGGTCTGGAAAAGGGTGATTTCATGCTGCCCGGAAAGAGGTGTTTTAAGGCTGCCCAGAAGGTGTTTCAAGGCTGTCCGAGAAGAGGTTTTTCCAGGCTCTCCTAAAAGAGGTGGATTCCAGATGTGTCACGGCCTGAGGAGGAGGTGCAAGTTCGATTCGACCACCATCGTATAATACATTGATTGACATGACGTATGGGGGACAATATTGACGGCACGGCAGCATAGTCTGCCCTATGTCTTGTGATCGCCTGAGGTAGGTGGGTATTGAACAGCCAATAGTTTACAATGTTGAACTCTTGTGATGTGTCAGTGGCTTGTTTCTGAGGGATGGTATCTATACTAGTTATGGTACTACAGTAGTATCGTTTATGATTCTTTGATTCAAGTTCTTTCAAGGTGTTTTAAGGCAGTAAAATACAACACTAACAAAGTTGCTGGTTCTAGGTTCTATGACATGGCTTGTAATACAAGCAGGCACAAAGCAAAGATAGAAAACCATTTTTCATAAACCACTCCTTGAAACTCATAAACCCTGCAACGGCAAGTGCAGTGTGCACTAGTCTCCAAGTGAGCCTGCCAATCTACCAGCTTGCCAGAACCCTGCAGGCAAGCATACAGCTTCACTGCAGCAGGTGGGGAGGTCCATTACCCAGGCATGGCTGAATCTGCCCAGGCTTTCAAGCATAAGCTTCCCTCTGGACCTGCTTGACTCATGATAAACCCGCCTAGGTGTCAGCTGCAGATCCTGCTGCTGCCTAATACTGGTAAGGTAAGACCTAAAAAGTTTTTTTCTCAAGCATGTGCTTGACTTGCTTGAACCATCACGAGCATACGCATTGCACGCCTTGCTGTTGTTGCAGCCTGCAGGCTCGCCACGCATGCTACACTGCAAGGCAATGCAGTGCTTGGGCCACGCTGATGATAGAGTGCCCTGCTGTACGCCTTACTGTAGCTGCAGCCTGCAGCCTGCAGCCTGCAGCCTGCAGCCATTGCTGCCTGAAGCCTGCAGCCACTGCTGCCTGCAGGCCTGCCACGCATGCTATGCCACACTGCAAGGCAATGCAGTGCTTGGGCCACTTGCGCCACGCTGATGATAGAGAGGATTCACCAAGGATTCACCACCACACCACCCTGCTGTAAGTCTTGCTGTAGGTACACAGCCTGCGCCACAGCTGCAAAAGCTGCTGCAGCTACACCCATGCTACACTGCAAGGCAACACGATGCATGCACCATGCTAATGACAGCCCTCCTGTTCCGTACTCTACTGCAACATGCTCCACTCGCTACCAGATTTGAGCTTCTCCCTTTCAATGCACCCTCTAAGATACTTTCTGATGCCAAGGCAGATGAAGGGATGGATGAACTAAGGGGCTTTCCCCTCATTAGCTCTGCTTGAACTTGTGGTAAGTCAAAACAGGAGGTACACATCTGACCAAATCACAATCTTTTCATCTGACCAAATCACAATCTTTTCATCTGCCCAGGTGGAGGCTCGACGCCAAGGTTTTCACCTGCCCAGCGCCTGCTGCAGCTGCAGCACCTGGGCGCGTTGGTCAGGTGGGAGCGCGTTCACCTGCTCAGGTGTTAGGCTCATCACCTGAGCCAGGAGGGCCTTCTGTTGCTCCACGTCCAATACCGGCTGGGGAGAGAGGACAGGGGAAGAGAGGGGAAAGGGGACGAGAGAGGAAAGGGGAAGAGAGAGGAAAGGTGAAGATTGAGAGAGGAAGTGTGTTAGGCTCATCACCTGAGCCAGGAGGAGGGCTTTCTGTTGCTGCACGTAATACAGGCTGACACATGTGGCCTGCTTGGGAGAAACAAAAACGTCCATAGTCAACTTTCCAATAAAGCCTCACCTCAGGAGCATTGAGGTCGTTTTTGAGGCGCCTCAAAAACGACCTCAAAAACATCCATAGTCACATGTGGTCAACTTTCCAATTAAGCCTCACCCCAGGAGCAGCAGGAGCAGCTGCTGGTGATGGCAGTGGCAGCTCTGGCACCCCTCCCCTTCCATACCCTCCCCCATCTCCTTCAAAAAAAATTCCCAAACACCACTCTCACTCCCTGATCCATCCCACTCTCACTTTCTGCAATACCCACCTCAGGAGCAGCAGCAGGAGCTGGTGATGGCAGTGGTAGCTCTGGCATCCCCTCCCTTCCATACCCTCCACCCCCTCCTCCCCCTCCTCCCGAAACCATCACAATCCTTACCAACCTCTCCACTCCGTAATCTCCCCAACCCAAACCTATCAACATCTGCAACACTCACCTCAGGTGCAGCAGGAGCGGCTGCTGGCGATGGCAGTGGCGGTTCTGGCATCCCTCCCCTTCCATACCCTCCCCCACTTCCTCCCCTCCTAAACAATAATGATACTTACCAACCTTCCCACTCCTCAATCACACTAATTACCAACTCATTTCTCTTCCCAACTGAATACCCACCTCAGGAGCAGCAGGAGCAGCAGCTGGTGATGGCAGTGGCGGTTCTGGCATCCCTCCCCTTCCATACCCTCCCCCACCTCCTCCCCCTCCCCCTCCCCCTGGCCCATACCCAGGCCCGCCCCCCATCCCTCTCATCCCGCCACCCCCCATCCCCCCCATCTCCCCTCCCCTCATCTCCCCCCCTCTCGCCCCCCGCCCCATTCCCCTCAACGGTCCCCCTGACGGCCCTTCCATGTAGCCCCCCCCACCCCCAGGCACTGCTGCAGGGGCAGCCGCGGGGGGGGGATGGGGGGGGAGCGGGGGCGCGTCTAGGGGATACATAGGGGCGTCTGGGGGAAGGGGGGGAGTGGGGCGGTGTGGGGGGACCGGTTGGTGCTGCCAGTGCGGGCGAGGGGGCATTTGCTGCTGCTGCTGGGGTGGCTCCTGATCCTGTAAACAGGGAAGTGAGAGAACGAAAATGGAGGAAGATTCTCACTTAGCTGGATAGTACCACGGCAGAGTGTCAGGCTTAATCTGAAAAATGGAAAGGACAGGTGAAACGGTCGCTTAAGCTGGGAAGCACAGAGCAAGTAGGGTAGGGAGGAGGAGAGAGCTTGGAGAAAGTAGACTGGGAAAGCAAGAGGGGAGTAGAATAAAATGTGGCTGGCCATAGGGGTCACATGTAACAGTGATTTTTGAGACTTCACAAAAGGTAGACTGGGAAAGCAAGAGGGGAGTACCATGAATTGTGGCTGGCCATAGGGGTCCATTGGAGGCTGGCCTTGGTCCTGCTGCACACAATTCTGGAGACGTCTCAAAGACCGACTAGGGACGTGAGGAGGGAGAATGGAGGAAGGAAAGGGGTGCACGTACCATGAATTGTGGCTGGCCGTAGGGGTCCATTGGAGGCTGGCCTTGGTCCTGCTGCACACAAACATAAACACATGGACAAATAGACACGGGCATACACATGCACTTGAGGACATACATGGTAGGGGTGCAACCGACCATACCCCTCGCCTCCGCCCCTTACCTCCAGCTGTCTGGAGACACAGAAACACCCTCACGGCAGCAAATGAAGGCTCGAGCTGGTCAACATAAGTGGCCTTTGAGTCGACTCAAAAGTCACGCCCGAGCTGGTGTGAATAAGTGGCCTAACTGGTACGGGTGTGGTCTAAGCGGCCTACATAAGCAGCCAGACAAGCACCGTTCCTTACCTGGTAGGGGTGTGGCCGACCATTACCCCCCCACCTCTCCCCCTCATCTCCACCCTAGCTGAGTCTTATAAGCACCAAGCCTAACCTGGTAGGGGTGTGGCCGACCATACCCACCCCCTCTCCCCCTCATCTCCTGCTGCCGCCCATGGTGTGGGGGAGGGGGGCCTTGGGGGAGTGGCGGACCCCCTTGGGGCCTCTGAAATGGGGGGAGTGGGGGAGGAGAGGGGATGTGAGGCGGGGATGGGTAGGGGGGGGTCAATAGGAGTATAATCGACCCGATGAAGAGGTTCAAAAGAGAGAAAGCAGGGCGTTTGAAGGGGTGCACTGAGAGAAGGCGAGAGAGTGGGTAGAAGAGGATAGGCAGAGAAGCATAGATGGAGGGCAGGGAAGGGGGAGGGACGCGGGGGACGGGAGCCAGGAAGCTGGGGAGGCATAGTATTGTTGAAGGGAGGGGAAGGAAGGGCGAGACAACGCACCTGTTGAGATGGGGCAGCTGGAGGTGGCTGCGGTGCCGTTTCTGGTGCTGCCTGCAAGTCAGAGAAGCAGGCGAGAGAAGTGACGCAGTAACGAGAACAAGAACCATTGAATTGTGAAAGGGAGTCGAAATTTGAGGCGCCTCAAAAAAAGAAGTGACGCAGTAACGAGAACAAGAACCATTGAATTGTGAAAGGGAGTCGAAAAAAGAGTCCTGTGATGACTCACACGAGGAAAGCAACGAGAGAGAAGAACAAGCAAAGGGAAGTACACACGGGCGCTGCATTAGAGATTCAAGGATTGTCTAAAATTTACTGCACTAGAGTTTCCCTGCACGATTGAGTGCAAGAGTTGCACAAAGCAGTGCACAGGGAAAAGCGCGTGCAGCAGAAGTGCATTGAACCCAGAAACAGCCAAAGTAAATTCAGATACAACACGAGCTATTAGCTCATCATGAGACATTCCAGTCCAACACGCGGTGCACTCACAGGGCCAGTCGCCTTCACCATCCCTAGCATCACTTGGGCCTGCACATAGACAGACAGAAAGTGATAAGGAGATGAATATGAGGAGACCGATGCAAGGAGATGAATATGAAGAGATGGATATGAGATGAAAGGAAAGGGACCTTTCATTTCTCAGCATCTGGAAATAGCTTGAAAAAAAGGGAGGTACTTTAAGGGACTTACTTGAAACAAGCCTTTGGCCAGCTGAGGGTTCTCCACCAGAATGGCTCGTGCTTTGAGGCGCCTCAAAAACGACAAGGACTTTACAAAAAGGGACTTCAACAAAAGGGACTTACTTGAAACAGGCCTTTGGCCAGCTGAGGGTTCTCCACCAGAATGGCTCGTGCTTGCGACCGGTTGGTCTGAATCAGCACCTGGGGAGTCGAAGGTTAGGGGAGGTGGGTGTGGGGGGGGGAGAGAGTGGGGAAAGCGTCGGAGATAGGGATTATGGAGAGAAAAAAGGGCAGCGAAAGCGGAATGCTATCTACAAATTGAATTTTGGCGTAGAGTTATCAGATTCTAACCAAAAGGAAAGGGAGTAGAGAAAAGTAATCAAAGAAGTACAAAGCCCTACAATACGTATAGTTCGATTTTTGATTCAGTTATGCAGCTGACAAATAAGGCACCTAGTAAAGGGAAGAGAATCAAAGCACTTAGACTTAGACTTAGATGGATATTCTTTATTCTCTGTCAAGGGGTTTGGGGGATAGGCGAAAGCGGGAAAGGAGAGTTCGGAAGGAAAAGGAGCACATAATAAGCTCTCCTTGACAATACAGAAAATCAATCCCTTTTCTAAAGGAGCAGTAGTCAGCAACACAAACAGGTCAATTCACAATCCAAATCAAATCACGCATCCAAAGCACACCTTCATCTGAGCCAGCAGGTCGTATAGTTGCTGCTTGGACATCCCTGCGAGCTGATTGGTCAACGGGTCTGCTGACTCAGCATCCCCACCTCCTGGCGTTGCCATGTCTCCTGTCCCCGGCTTTCTCACCACCACTGGTGGCGGCGCTCCCAGCGCTTGTGCTACAAAGAAAGCTGCTTCTATCGCAGCGGGGAACCCAATGGGCTGAGTGAGTGACTCTAACGGGGGAGACGGACACGATTGTTGGGATATTGAGGGGTCTGGTTGAGGGGAGCGGCGCTGCTGCTGATGCTGGTAGGGGTAACGGCCAGGATGCTGCTGTTCCTGTTGCTGCTGCTGTTGAGCGGACCCTGGAGTCCAGAGATGCAATGCAAGGAGACATGGAAACGGAAATGGAGTAAAAAAATTTAGGCGCCTAAAAAATCACCTCAATGCTGTTGCTGCTGTTGCTGTTGCTGCTGCTGTTGAGCGGACCCTGGAGTCCAGAGATGCAATGCAAGGAGATATGGAAACGGAATGGGGCAGCGTAATGCCAGACGGTTACTGAACAAGAATCGACACGGTTAGCAAGCACACAACCCACCCCCCAATCCACCCACCAGCCCACCCACTCACCCACCCACCAACCAATGTTTTTTAAGTCAACCAACGAATACACCTATGGGGAAACAGCATGAACGTAAGATCTTACCGTATCCTTGGGTTCCTGGAGCACTGGGTCCTCCTTTTCCCTGCGCACAGCACAACAACATTCAGAAAACCAAACCGTTCCCTCTGACATGAAAACAGAACTCCACAGTCATGTGACTCTGAAGACAGATCAGAATAAGCATTGATTATCACAGACAAAGGTTAGGACCAAGGCGACGAGGTATAAGGAGATTATCCCAAAATATATAAACAGAGCCACCACCGTAGCCACAGTACCGTTTGCTGGCCGCTCTTGTCGCTCTCGGCAAAGTCAACCCTGAGCTGGCGGCCGTTGATGTCGTATCCGTTGAGATTTGACAAATGGTTAAACTCAACGCAAAGAAAGTAAAGGGAGAATCAGCATAAGTACCGTTTGCTGGCCGCTCTTGTCGCTCTCGGCAAAGTCAACCCTGAGCTGCCGGCCGTTGATGTCGTATCCGTTGAGGTTCCTCCGGGCACTCTGTGCTGTCTCCTCGTCCCTGTACTCGCAGAACCCGTACCCCTTGGGCTTGCCGCTCTCCCTGTCTGTCACCAGCCTGGATGCAGCCAGGCAGGTAAGCGGGCGGGAAGCAGGCAGGAAGACAGGAAGCACAAGGAAAACGGGCAGGCAAGCGGGCAGACGAGCAGGAAAGCGGGTAGGCAAGCGGGCAGGCAAACTTTTGACTCGAAATCAGCTCGTTAAAGTTCTGGATTGCTGAGCTCTGTGCTGTCTCCTCGTCCCTGTACTCGCAGAAGCCGTACCCCTTGGGCTTGCCGCTCTCCCTATCCGTCACCAGCCTGGATGCAGCCAGGCAGGCAGTTAAGCGGGCAGACAAGCGGCCAAGCGAGCAGGCAGGCAAGCAGGCAGGAGAGCGGGCAGGCAAGCGAGCGGGCAAGCAGGAAGGGAAAACGGGAAGCAAGCGAGCGGGGAAGCAGGTAGGCGGGCAGGCAGGTAGAGAAGCGAGCAGGAACGTGGAGAGGAGGCACAGGGCGGGAGCAGGTGCCGAGGCGGGAGACACAACCGATGGCAGGATGGAAGCAGCATGACCAGATCTAATCAGTCCTGTTGGTGCGCTCATGCGCCAGATAACAGGCGAGCTAGGCACGGGGACAAAGATTGCTAGCTATCTTGCGTTTGTGTGTACTGGTCAGATAATTCTGCTGTTGTTTCCCTGTGATTATAGAGTCACTGGTTCACGATTGCTGGAGACATGGTACTCTTAAAAACCCGATTTTTCATTACCCTACTCAGGTCGAAAATCGCTAGCATGTGAAGCTGGTCGACCCAGTCTGGTCAGAGCGTGTGAAAAGTTTCAAGCTGAAACTAAGGTCCATTTCCCTGCTGGAGTGCAGAAGGTCTTAGTATTCCTTCTTTTTCAGCGGCCGGGACATTTCAAACCCTCTGTTCAGGTCGCCGGCTGTTGTGATTTTTGCTCTCTTCGTTTACACTGGAGCTTCTTTTCAGTGACGTCAACTCCATGGAAGAATGCATACAATAATGATACAAACAGGGAACACTGGAGGAAAACGAAGCACCGAAACCATACGGACAAATAGCTTGCACGATCGCGATGATCGGACGGTCCTGCTTGCACATACCGAAAGGAAACCACGGGCCCGACCTCCTCACAGATCTGACGCAGCTGTTCCTCGGTAGTATCGTAAGGGATGTTGCCGACTGCGACACAAAAGAACAGGCTGAGAGTCACACGGCTCGCGAAGGATAGTGATAACGAAAAGAAGAGCGTAATAGTATTCTATGTATTACGCTTAAAGAAGAGCGTACTTACCAAAGACACACCTAGGCGAGCGCAACATGGATAGGCGAACGGCGAGAATTACGGGAATTAGAAACCCTACGTTGCAGAGCCGACCCTAATCTGTTGGCGGCAATCCCTAGGTTGCGATTGTGAAGCTTTGCCTAGCTTGAACTGCATTAGATGGGAACAGTCATACGAGATGCTTTTTGCCAGTTTGAGACGCACTCGCTACTTGATAATATTGATGCGTACGAGTTCTTCGGAAAAATATATACATGTGTGAGTTTGAATTGCCTAATTTTGAAGACAAATCAAAGCTGAGGTACATAAGCAAAAATTCTTTGTTAAATTCAGTGCTACCATGCAATTATCAAAGGAATAAATCTAATTTACGGCATGGTTGGGTTTTTATCAGATAAACTGAGAACAAGGCTAAGTTATACCATTATTGACTATACCATGAGTATTGTACATAAAACAGAACATACTGAGTTACTAACCGCACAAAAACACTCTATGCCCTTACGAACCCACTCCGACTCCTCTCTTGTTGAACCGTTCACTGAAAATGCCCTTGAGTTCCACACCTTGATCATTTTTGTCCAAGTTCGATGAGCTCTAGGGTTCCCTTCCCCGACTGACGTCTGTAGCCAGAACCTAGAAAATGTCATCTACTCGCAATATCACTCCTCAACCGACAACTGATTCCACCAGGCGCCTGAACCGATAGTTTCATCGCGTTGCTCTACTTTTCAAGGCTCTCGCCGCTCGCTGCTTTCAATTTCGCCAGTCACGGCCTCGGCAAGCCTCGATCTCCTCTCGTATAATAGTCGAGCCCCTCACATTACGACCTGAAGTAGTGAGAGTCATCTTTGACAGCCCTTGCCTTGCACATTGTTGGTTTATAACGAGGACAAGTAAGCCCGTCGACATGGCTGTCGGCGTTAGAATGGTAGTGGTGATGCCGGGTGTGTGATGGAGCAGAAGCAGCACGCGTCGATCAAACAGCGACGGAAGGTTGATAAGAAAGACGTTAAAAAAGACGAGCGAGATACGAGCGCATCCAGCGAGAAAGCAGCAAGGGAAACTCGATCTTCCGCAAGCTCGTCGAACAACGGTCAGATTGGAGGCGATACCAGCGCGGACCGTGTAACCAAGACAGAGAACCAAGTAATTTTCTGTGTGTATCGGCGTGCGTGTTACTGGTATTTCTTTCGTGACGCTTGTGCGAGCATATATGCATACAATGATGCGTAATGCTTGTGTGTAATTGGTGCCATGCGTACTCGCAGTCTCTATCAGTCTCCCTCACATTTTTTCTCATCGGCTTCGCATTATCTCCCCCCTCGGCCCGTCACTCTCTCAACCGAACACCCACTCTCCTTCCACCTCTCGCTCCCCTTCCTCACTCCTCTCCCTCCTTCTCTCTTCCCTTCTCTTTCTCACTCCCCTCCCCTTTCTCACGCAACTCCCTTCCCTCACCCCGACACCCCGGACAGGGTGTTACAGCTAGTCCTCTAACCAAACGAAAACTTACAACACTCGCCCACGCTCTACTTGTAGTCGCTCTTGCTCTCCTCCTGGGAAACTGGCAGCGGATTTCACAGGGTAGTTTCCTCCTCGAAAGTCTACCTTTCAAGGCCTTCAACTTCGGTGAAGCCCCTCTCCCGCCGCTCCACCATTCCGGCCCAGTATGCCGCACCTGTGACCGCGCCTCATGCTCCTTCGCCTACTTGCAAGGACTCACTGTGAGTCTGTGATGTTTGAGATTAGCTTGGATGCAGATTGTAATTGATTAGACATTATTCCTCTAGTCAGGCCTGGTATGCCGCACCTGTGACCGCGCCTCATGCTCCTTCGCCTACTTGCAAGGACTCACTGTGAGTTTTCACGTTTTTCTTCAGAAGTTGCTTCCACGCCAGCAAACCCTGGGGCCTGGTATGCTGCACCTATCTGTTTTCCTTCTTTCAACTGTCCTTGTTCCTTGGCGCAACTAACTGTTTCCAATATCCGCTCCCTCCCTCCTCACCTCCACCCACCTGCAGAATCTCCTGACCCTTGTGCCGCCTCTAAGCGGTGCTCACAGCATGGCGGCCAAGTGGGCCAAGTTTCAAATGCCCTCTCTCAGTGACGCTGACGACCTCCCAGGTACGCGGCACACCACAGTGACGACAGCACAGCATGCCAGCTCTAAAGTCATTCCTCTAGGCGGTGCTCACAGCATCATGGCGGCCAAGTGGGCCAAGTTTCAAATGCCCTCTCTCAGTGACGCTGACGACCTCCCAGGTATGCGGCACACCACAGTGACGACAGCACAGCATGCCAGCTCTAAAGTCATTCCTCTAGGCGGTGCTCACAGCATCATGGCGGCCAAATGGGCCGAGTTTCAAATGCCCTCTCTCAGTGACGCTGACGACCTCCCAGGTACGCGGCACACCACAGTGACGACAGCACAGCATGCCAGCTTTAAAGTCATTCCTCTAGGCGGTGCTCACAGCATCATGGCGGCCAAATGGGCCAAGTTTCAAATCCCCTCTCTCAGTGACGCTGACGACCTCCCAGGTACGCAGAGCGTAACTTTACAACAAGCCAAGACACCACCACCAGTGCTGATGCAGCCTGCCATTTTACACACTCCACCCCCTCCCTCGCTATCCCCCCCCTCTCCCGCACCCCTTTCTCCCATTTCTCAGGAACCCATGCCCCTACCTCCTCCCCTCTGACCGCTCCATCCTCTCCCTCCTTATGTGCAGATGGCGTGGTGTTTCAGATTGTGGCTTCGGACTGGTCGGTGGTGGAAGCACCTGGGAATTCTTAACGTCTCTAAAATCGTCTTCTGACCCCCCTGGCCCCTCGGTCCTCTCCTCATCTGCAGATGGTGTGGTGATTCAGATTGTGGCTTCGGACTGGTCCGTGGTGGCAGCACCTGGGGGGGTTTTGAGCTGTCTCATTTATCGTCTTCTAAACCCCTCCGTCCTCTCCCCCCTTATGTGCAGATGGCGTGGTGATTCAGATTGTGGCGTCGGACTGGTCCGTGGTGGCAGCACCTGAGGGCGACTGGAGCCAATTAGTGAGTTAACTCAAGAACTCTTTTCCCTCCCTCCCCACCCAAACCCCTCCGTCTCGCTCTACATCTGCAGATGGCGTGGTGATTCAAATCGTGGCGTCGGACTGGTCCGTGGTGGCAGCACCTGAGGGCGACTGGAGTAAACCGTTGGGATTGGAGAAGGCGGGAGGGAAGGAGGGCAGCAGGGTGGGAGACGTGTTCACCGTTGTTGTTGTCAAGACTGCTGAACCCAACAGGTGAGGCTGTTTAACGGGGATATCTGAGCCTCCTTTACTCTCGGAAGGGCAGGAGGGCAGCAGGGTGGGAGACGTGTTCACTGTCGTTGTTGTGAAGACTGCCGAACCCAACAGGTGAGGCTGTTTAGTGGGAATTTTTGAGCCGCCTTGTTCTTTGGGAGGGCTGGATTGCAGCAGGGTGGGAGACGTGTTCACCGTTGTTGTCGTCAAGTCTGCCAAACCCAACAAGTGAGGATGTTTTACAGGGATGTTTAAGCCGCCTTGAAGTTTGGGAGGGCAGGAGGGCAGCAGGTTGGGAGACGTGTTCACAGTTGTTGTCGTGAAGACCGCTGAATCCAACAGGTGAGGCTCAGATCAGAGGGCGTGGAGAATCTGCCAAGGGAGATTGAGGAGCGAGGTAGGAGACCGAGAGTGGAAGGTGGGAGGGCAGGCAGTGGGATTGCGCTGGAGGAGGCACTACAATCTGATCTGACTACATCATCCCTATGAGGCGCCTGCAGGGAGTTTTTGAGAATTCTCAAAAACTCCCTGCAACGTCAAGGAGGAGGCACTACAATCTGACTACATCATCCCTATGAGGCGCCTCAAAGTGGGGAAGACAAGAAGACAAGGCTTTTCTCAGCGCTTTCCCAACCCCGCATCCTTCTCCCCACTAACCCCTATTCCCCCGTTCCACTCTGTCGCCCTGTGAGGGAAATAGCCTTGTCCCACTCCCTCTGGAGCATGCTCTGTTCTAGCAAGTTCTTTTGAGGCGCCTCAAAACTCGTCTGGAGCATGTCCTGTTCTAGCATGTTCTGTTTTAGCATGTTCTGTTCTAGCATGTTCTGTTTTAGCATGTTCTGTTCTAGCATGTTCTGTTTTAGCATGTTCTGTTTTAGCATGCTCTTCACAATTCTCACATGTCCGGCTTCTCTTCCGCTTCCAGCAAAGCACACCCAGTCTCTCGCATCTTTCCCCTACGCCCCTCTCCCTTCCACCCTTTCCAGAGAAGCATCATCTCGATTATCTTGATCCCTGAGGAACATGTTTGGATTCGCTTCCGCTTCCAACAAAGCCCAATCAGTCTGCAGCAAAGCACACTCAGTTCCTCCCTTCTTTCGCTTCGCCTACGCCCCTCCCGTCCACCCTTTTCATTGAAGCAGCATCTCGGTCCCTCTGGAACATGTTTGGATTCTCAGCTGCTTATTTTCCCAATCCCTCCCTCCCTCCCCCCCCTTGCCCACCCCCACTCCAACTCCCTGTGCAGGGAAGCCGCATCTCGCTCCCTCTGGAACATGTTTGGCTTTTCAGCTGCTTCCAACAAAACCCAATCAGTCTGGGGGAGGAAGCAGGAGGGCGGCTCAGACGACGACGAGGAGGAAGGAGCAGAGGGAGCGGAGGGAGCGGAGGAAGCAGAGGTGGAGGAGATGGAGGTGCATGTGTCCCTGAGGGCTCCCAACGGCTGTGTGCTGTCGGCACATGATGACGGGTCGCTCCGGGCAGATACGCCGACAGATGCCGCCCTGCTGGACTGCCACGTGTTCCGCGTCACCAGGAACGTCCGCTCAGGGAAATTCGCCTTTTATGTGAGTCCTGTCCCTAGCAGCACGCCTCCTAGTAGCTTTGTATGTGAGACCCTGAGACCCTCGCCTACTATGTGCACTAGAGTTCTTCCCCACATGTATCCCTTCCGGACCTCCCTTCACCCCTTCCGCTGCAACGAGTGCCACCGACGAGCCCTGTAGTCCTCGCCTCGCATCTCATTGCACCCATGGTGCAGGGAGGTGCTGCAGAGACCTACTCACATCGTACCTCTCTCCCTCCCCACGCCCCCCCCCCTCTCTCCCTCCCCTCCCCTCCCCACCCAGTCCATGAGTAATGAGCGCTACCTGAGAGCCCTGCAGCCATCGCTCCTCTTCGCCTCCATGGTGCAGGGAGATGCAGAGACCTTCTAACGTATTCACCTCTCTCTCTTCATAACTCTTCCTCCATCCCCCCTCCTGTCACCAATCCCTTCCCTCCCCTCCTCTCCCATCTCCCAACCCCAACCCAGTCCATGAGTAACGAGCGCTACCTACGGGCCCTGCAGCCATCGCTCCTATTCACGTCCATGGTGCAGGGAAACGCAGAGACCTTCTCACATCGTACCTATCACCCTCCCCCCCTCTCCCCCCACCTTCCCCTCCCCTTTCCCCACCCAGTCTATGAGCAATGAGCGCTACCTACGGGCGCTGCAGCCATCGCTCCTCTTCACATCCATGGTGCAGGGAGAAGCAGAGACCTTCTCCATCCGCCGCCTGGACATGCTGCCCAAGTTCCTCGGAGTCAACCTGGGCGGCTGGCTTGTGGCAGAAGCCTGGATGTGCCCTCCTGCTCTCTTCGACGGGGTCTTTACTGTAAGTGAATGCGGCTTGTCTGGCCTAGGGTGCAGTGCGGTGCAGTTCAGTGTGGTGCAGTTCAGTGCGGTGCAGTTCGGTGTGGTGCAGAACGGTGCAGAGACCTTCTCTGTCTGCCGCCTGGATATGCTGCCCAAGTTCCTCGGAGAGTCAACCTGGGCGGTTGGCTCGTGGCTGAAGCCTGGATGTGCCCTCCTGCTCTCTTCGACGGGGTCTTTACTGTGAGTGAATGCGGCTTGTCTGGCCTAGGGTGCAGTGCGGTGCAGTTCAGTGTGGTGCAGTTCAGTGCGGTGCAGTTCGGTGCGGCGCAGAACGGTGCAGAGACCTTCTCTGTCCTCCGCCTGGATATGCTGCCCAAGTTCCTCGGAGAGTCAACCTGGGCGGCTGGCTCGTGGCTGAAGCCTGGATGTGCTGTGCCCTCCTGCCTGCTCTCGTGAACAACCACCCCCCTCAACCACCACCAACCCCTTCTTCGACTCAACCCCTCTCAACCCCTCTCAACCCCTCTCTACTCTTTCATATCCCCTCTTCCCCCTTCCCAATTCTTGCACCTGCTGCAGGACCTATTGGACGGCACGTCCATCCAGCTACAGTCCGTGGACAACAAGTGGGTGGCAGCGGAGGGAGGGGGCGGCGACCAGCTCAGGGCCAATAGGGACGCTGCCAGCGCATGGGAGACGTTTTTTCTTCGCCGGGCAGACCACGGCGCGTTTTTCATCCGGGCGGGCAGCGGGCACTTTTGGAGCGTGGATGCTGCAAGTGGCGAGGTGTTTGCCAACAAGTGAGACATGAAATCATGATTCTGAGAAACATTCGAAGCAAAATGAATCTCTTTTCCCTCAGCCACCCGCCCCACCTTCTCGCCCCCCTCCCTCTTCATTGCTACCCATCTAGTTCTCTCAAGAGGTCTCGAGGTGACTTTTGAGTCGACTCAAAAGTCACCTCGGCCCACCTTCTCGCCCCCCTCTCTCTTCATTGCTACCCATCTAGTTCTCTCAAGAGGTCTCGTAGCTCTGCTTCTGTCGCAAGCGTTATGAGGTCTCTCATTTGGCTCAAATTTCTGATCCTTGATAGGGTCCATTAAAGTCTCAGACGTAACATCAAATGTCTCAAACGGCTCCTTAAGTTTGCACGCCCTTCTCTATTTCCCTCCGCGCGTCCTTTCGCATCTTTCCCCGTCCTTTCTTTCTCTCTTTTGCTCTTCGTTTCTATCAGGGAGGACGAGGAGGAGGGCGAGATGTTCTGGGTGCGGCACAAGCTAGGAGAGGAGGGTACGGTGCAGCTGAGAGCGGCCAATGGCAACTGGGTGCAAGCTCTGGACGACGGCAGGCTTATAGCGGATATCGAGTGAGTCCATAGACGGGGGTGTAGTGAGTATCGAATGATTCATTGAGGCTTGTAGCATACATCGAATGATTTCATAGAGGGGCAAATAGCAGACCTTGTGTGAGTTTATCGAGGAGCTTATAGCGGATCCCCAGGGGCTTCTAATGAGGACACCCCCAGGTGGGACACCACGTGCACATTCACTCTCAGCAAGCTCCGCAGACCTGAGGAAGGGGAGAGGCTGAACTCTTGTTTCCCTCCTATCCCCCCCTCCCTTTCACTCCCCTTTCCAGCGAGGACGTCCCTAGATGGGACACCACGTGCACGTTCACTCTATTCATCCCTGCCATCCTCTCCCCATCCCCAAACCCGAACCCCCTTTCTTTCAGTGAAGATGCCCCTAGATGGGACACCACGTGCACATTCACCCTGAGCAAGCTTGCAGACATGGGAGGGGAGGTGCAGCTGATGCTGGCGCTCGGTTGAGAGGAGGCAAAGAGCCTCCCATTCACTCCACTCTCCCCGCCCTCTTACTCGTCTCCTTTGCCCCCTTTCCTCCCCTCCAGTGAGGATGCCCCCAGATGGGACACCACGTGCACATTCACTCTCAGCAAGCTAGCAGACATGGGGGGAGAGGCACAGCTGATGCTGGCTCTTGGGCGGGAGGAGGCGGAGAGGAGGCTGCAGCAGCACCGGGAGGAGTGGGTGGGGGAAGGCGACTTTGAGTGGCTGGCGCGGCAAGGGGTGAACGCAGTGCGGATACCCGTGGGGTGGTGGGTCGCTGTCGACCCCACACCGGAAGAGTTTGTTGACGGAGCACTTGAGCTGCTGGATAAGGTGCGTGGGTATGGTGTGCGGTTCAGGCATTCACGTGTGTGGCTGTGTGGTAAGTGAGTGGCTGGCGCAGCAAGGGGTGAACGCCGTGAGGATACCTGTTGGGTGGTGGGTTGCTGTGGACCCCACACCGGATGAATTCGTTGAAGAGGCACTTGAGCTGCTGGATAAGGTGTGTGGGTGGGTGTGGTGAGGAGTGGGTGGGAGCAAGGGGTGAACGCTGTGCGGATACATCATACCCGTGGGGTGGTGGGTTGCTGTTGACCCCACACCAGAAGAATTCGTTGAGGGAGCTTTAGATCTGCTGGATAAGGTGGGTGTGGTTCAGGCGTACACATGTGTGGCTGTGGGGTAAGTGAGGAGTGGCTGTCACGGCAAGGTGTGAACGCAGTGCGGATACCCGTGGGGTGGTGGGTTGCTGTTGACCCCACACCGGAAGAATTCGTGGCAGGAGCACTTGAGCTGCTGGATAAGGTGCGTGAGCTGCTGAACTGAAGAAGGGGTGAACGCTGTGCGGATACCCGTGGGCTGGTGGGTTTCTGTGGACCCCACACCAGAAGAATTCGTGGCAGGGGCTTTAGAGCTGTTGGATAAGGTGCATGGGTGTGGTGTGCGGTTCAGGCATACACGTGTGTGGCTGTGGGGTAAGTGAGGAGCGGGTGGGTGTGGTGCATGTATACATATGCATATGGAGTTCTGCAAGCGGCTATGCAGCAACTGGATAGGCGGGCTGGATAGTGGCTCTGGGGATGTGAAAGTACGAGGTAAAGGGGGTTCCTTCCGGCTTTAGTGTGTGCAGCATCCGCGTTATTGTGTGTCTTCATGCATGCAGGATCCACCCTGAAAATGATATCCACCTTTTTTCCTCACTTGCCTGCAGGCACTGGACTGGGCGCACACAAACAGCATCCGTGTTATAGTGTGTCTGCATGTGTGTACTTTGAGCCAATATTCTTCTCTCACACAATTGTTTTCTCCCCTGCAGGCACTGGACTGGGCGCACACAAACAGCATCCGCGTTATAGTGTGTCTGCACGCGGCCCCCGGGTCTCAAAACGGGTGGGAGCACAGTGCGAGTCGAGACGGCATTCCCATGTGGGGCAAGCCCGGCACGCCCTACATGGATGAGACGGTTGACGCCGTCCGCTTTCTCATGCAACGGTAAGTTCAAGTCAATCCAAAGGCTGCCCGGTAAGGGGTGCCCTACATGAATGAGACAGTTGACGTCGTCCGCTTCCTTGTGCAACAGTGACTTTTGAGTTGGTTGAATGCCGCCCAGAATGCGATCTCCTGTATGTATGTATGTATGTATGTATGTATGTATGTATGTATGTATGTATGTATGTATGTATGTATGTATGTATGTATGTATGTATGTATGTATGTATGTATGTATGTATGTATGTATGTATGTATGTATGTATGTATGTATGTATGTATGTATGTATGTATGTATGTATGTATGAGACAGACGGCGCCGCCGCGCCGCCTGCTTGCTCGAGCAGCTGTGAGAAACGGCAGTGATGGTGTAGGGGGGGGTGGCTGTGGAGGAGTGAGAGCCGAGTTTTGAGGCACCTCAAAAGTCCTATCGGCAATCAACAACCCGAGGGCCGATGCAGTGTCTTATCTGCACACTAACCCCCCTCCCCTTTCTCTCTCCACCGTCTTCCTCTCTCACCCACACCAGGTATGCCTCACACCCAGCCTTTGCAGGGCTAGAGCCAATCAACGAGCCGAGGGCCGATGCAGTCTCGTTTGACGACCTCGCACGCTACTATGAGCGGTGCTATGCGGTGCTGAGGGAACACTCGCCCTCCGCCTACTTTGTCATTTCTGGGAGAATTTTTGCCAACGAGAGGGAGTGGGACGACTTTATGACGAGTAAGTGTGTGTTTGTGTGTGTGTGTGTGTGTGTGTGTGCGTGCGTGCACGGCACGCACTGTCATATGTGCGCGCACAAAAGTGTGATGTGTTGTGTAGTGGAAGGGGATGGAAACAGTGAACGCTGCAATGTGCGCTATTGTGAATATTACAGCTTACAAGTTTGAAGGACGACTTTTCACCCATGTTTTGCATTTATGCAGGTGTGCATGCAGTGCAGGAATGTCTAAGTGTTCTTGAGTGTGCGTGCGTGTGTATGTGTGTGCCTGTGAGCCCCATGCATCCATCCGTACAGGTGCGCAGTGCACGAATGTGATCTACGACGCACACTGGTACCAAGTGCACGACCACGCGGAGTTTGGATCCCATTCGGTGGACTTCAATCTGTGTGTATATGTGTTCTTGTGTGCTCTTGTGTGTGCTTATGTGAATGTTGTGGTTACGCAGGTGCGCAGTACACGAATGTGATCTACGATGCGCACTGGTATCAGGTGCACGACCACGCGGAGTTTGGATCCCAGTCGGTGGACTTCAATCTGCAGTACCCCTCGAAGCAGCGTGCTGCTGCGCTCAGCCTGCTGGAAAGAGGACAGCGGCTCGTGTTTGTGGGTGAGTGATTGAGTGAGTGAGTGAGTGATGGGAGTGAGTCAAACGAGAGAAGCAGTTGGCTCGGCAAGGTAATCAAGGTAGACTGATCAGCCGGGCATGCATGCTCATGGGTGCACGACCATGCGGAGTTTGGATCCCAGTCGGTGGACTTCAATCTGCAGTACCCCTCCAAGCAGCGCGGCGCTGCTCTCAACCTGCTGGAACGAGGGCAACTACTCGTGTTCGTGGGTGAGTGATGGCAGTCACAATGACTAAAAGAACTCATTATTGTGCCCATGGCCATGCCCTGCCACCCCAAACCACACCACACACCACAGGAGAGTGGTCTCTGGCTCTGCTATGCGACACAAGCGACGACATCAACACTCGTTTCGCCAAAGCACAGCTACAGGCATACCTCGCGTCATCTTCCGGTTCGTTCTTCTGGTCGCTGAAACACGGGCAGGGGTGGGACCCCTGGAGCTTCAAGGCTAGTGTGGAGCGCCGGTGGATGACCTCTGCTCTCTGGCCCTGGTCCCGCTCCCCGCTGCTTGCATCCTCTCCTGGGGCTGCGGCTTCTCCAAAGAGACGTTCGAATTTGCAAAATGGAGGAAAAAGTGGGAGCCAGGACCATGTTGAGTTGTGACCTTTATGGCCGTGTGCATTTGCTGCTGTAGAACTGATGTTTGATTTAGTGATGTCATTGCAACCACTTACCTACCACGTGCTTTTGCTATAAACCTTGCATTGTACAATATAACTCACGTAGATTTCCCACATAACGAGTTTACGCATTTCGTTCAGTGGAAGTGTAGGACCAAGTGAAGGTGCTTTTACAATTGTCGTGTTCAGAGGCATCTTGGGGAAATGGATAACGTTACAAATCATGATTCTTAGCTGAGCATCCAGTAAAGAATATCCTCGCCAGGAATCACCAGCCTGATGAGCAGGAAAGGAATCTTCTGGTTCGCTTTGCTGGGCGCGCATCGAACCACGGAACCCCAACTCCTGCCCACCCAGCGAATCAGAACCTTTCCAGACTGCGGCCCAACATGAACACATCTCCGGTCAGCACCCGTATTGGTCAGGCGTTCAGCGAGGAGATCCGGTTTTGCCGCCAGACCGATGAGATGCCACTGGTCATCGCCACCGTGGCACTTTCGGATGTTTGGCTCCAATCAGGCGTTCCCAACTCTTTTCGCGTCAGCCTCAGAAACCCATGCTGACATGTACTGTGGTCACCATTTCCAGATGCCCCCCTTTCGCCGAGGTGCACTCAGGCTGCAACATCCCCATTTGCTGAAGGTTCATGCAGTGCGGTTCAATACGCTAAATCACGGTCAAGCGGCGTTTTTGTTTCACCGCTTTAGAAATACCGTTCACCGTCTATAACCGTATCGTTTCCCGCCTGGCGTGATGGATCAGCTGCAAGCTAGACCTAGAAGTTGGTTAGAGTAAGAAGCAAGCTAGGTGTACAGTACCCAATTCACTTGTGCTTAGCTAGTTGCTGTTAGTAGAAAGCCAGAGGAATACAAGCCAGGCCAGGAATCACTTGCGTATTTCATTTCGCAGTTTCCCGCCTGGCCAGTTTCATATTATTGTAATCTTCTCGTTCCGCATGCCACGCTAGGTAAATCGAGATCGTTTGCGTCGTTTCGAATTCAGTTGAGACGAACTTTTTGAGTCTGGGTGAGCTTCAACCACAGCGGTTTCCGTTTCGACCATTCGCATTTCCTGATTTCCTAACGGAATGGCTCTCGAGGCGTCCGTCTCTCAGAGTCTACTCTCAGTCCCGACAACGATCGGTAGTCTGGATCGTGGTCATTCGCGATGTGTCCGTGATTCTCAGAAGAATTTGCCAGGTTCTCTATTCTTAGGTCTCAAGTTACCTCGAGACATTTCAAGGGGAGAACTGGTTTGCGTTTCCAGCTCCAAAAAAATCAATAGAAGAGGTGGTTCCAGTAATGGCCGTAGGTTCATTCTTAAAGCAGCAGCTGAGCCTGGTTCCTTTTCTAGCCGGAATGTTAGCAGTTTGTTGAAGCGTTCTCAGCCTCCTCGGGATGTTAGCGCATCTGTTGGAGTCGCTCCTCGAAGCATCTCTGTTTCCCCCAACATTTTGTTAGATTCCGAGGTGCTTCAACAGGAGAAACCGCAACAGCAACTGCAGCAGCAGAAACAGCAACAACAACAACAACAACAACAACAACAGCAACAGCAGCGGCAGCAGCAGCAGCAGCAGCAGCAGCAGCAGCAGCAGCAGCAGAAGGGGCTGGAGCAACGGCTTTCACATGACCCGGCGAAAGTCACCAAGCCAGCCGTTTCAGCCGCTCAACGTCTCGCGGAGAACGCCAATCGGCTCCACAATCTTCTCCTGCAGCTCTCCACAGCTCAGACATTCGACGAGAAAGACGCAATCCTAAGCGCGGATCCGCGGGTGCGCGCAGTCTTCCCCCAGCAGGGCTCCTCGCTTGGAAAATTCGTCAAGCCTGCTGTTTCGATGGCCATAGATTGTTGCACTGCGGAGGAAATTTACCTGCTCAAGTGCCTGGTGGCGTCCGGGCAAGAGCATTTGTTGGACACTCCGGTTGCCTGGGCTGAAGGGATGGACTCTATCTGGGAAAAGGCGCATTGCCAGAGCAGCGCCAAGGCAGAGTCAGGAGGAGTTGGCGGAGGAGGAGGAGGAGTGAAGGAAGCCTTTTCTATGCTCGCTTCCATGATCGACGGCTGGGACACGCACCCAGACGCCCCCCGGTCCGCGCTTCCCGCATTCCTCGCCGGATTCGACAACCCCGGCGTGTTTCCCGCTCCGCTTATGGACCTCATTGACTGGGAAGACCGCCGATCGGCGCACTGCCCTTCAGCTGCTACTAGTGAATGTGCGGCGAGCTCTGGAGGGAAAGGAGATGGGCAGCCGTTTTCGTCTCGGTCGTCGACGCTGCTCGCGCAGCTGAAGGAAGGGCTGGAGTATCCGAGCGTGTTCGGCGCTCCGCTGTTGGACCTGGTTGACTGGGAGCGGCAGTGGCAGTCAGAAGGTGGACCAAGCTCCCCTAGCAGCAGTAGCAGCAGTAGCAGCAGTAACAGCAGCAGCAGCAGCAGCTGCCGTGGTAGCGGCGGTGACAGTGACAGCAGCTGTGGGTTTGCGAGCGACGGTGGTAGCAGCAGCAGCGGGTGGGAGGATAATGGTGGCTCTTTGAGGGACCATGAGCCACGCGCGCAGCTGCAGGCGCTTCTGGCGATGCTGCGGCGAGTGGAGAAGTTCTACGACGGCATTGGCGGCATTCTTGGGTAAGCTATTCTGAACTGATTTTGTAGTCGGCTCATAAACGGCGTTGGCGGCGGCATTATCGGGTACGTTATTTGAGTTAATTACTCAAAGCAATGCTGATTGCCGATGTTGCAGGAGCATTGGTGGAACCGTCGGGTACGTGATTCTGAACCCTAATTTCTTCCTGGTTGGTTTAACAGAGAGTTGGGAACTCTGGCTTTTCAATGTGGCGGAATAAAAAAGTGTAAAGATCTGAGCTGAGCTGACTTTTCAGGCTCCTCAAAACTAGAAGAGCTTGTGTTTGCTGTTGTTTATTGCGCGCAGGTATCAGTCGACGTGCCTGGACCTCATTCAGCAGTCCGTTGCTGCATCGCAGCAAGCAGCCGCTGCTGCAGCAGCAGCAGCAGCAGCAACAGCAACTCTAGCAACGTCCCTGGCAGCAGAGATCATGATTGCCAATGAAACAGAAAACGAAGGACGCGGTTTCGAATCCCAGCGACGGATTTTTATGCCCCCTGGCCAAGACCTGGCAAGTGATCCGAAGTTTGCCTCTCAGGCAGCGTTTTGGGGCCTTGAGGTGAGTTGCGGGCATTTCCTTTCCCATCTTTTGCGACTGAGAGGAAATGCATGCCTTTTTAAGAAAATATGCTTTCTTGTCACCGCAGTTTTCACTTCCCTACAGATGACGTACTTCAAATCCCCTCTCCTCCCAATTCCATCTTCTTATCACACCAGGGGTTGCCTGCAATGGCGGAAATATACCCCTTGGGAGGCGCGGGGGACAGGCTAGGACTGGTGGACGAGGCAACAGGGGAGAGCCTGCCTGTGGCAATGCTGCCGTACTGTGGCCGCACGCTCCTGCATGGGCTTCTGAGAGACCTGGAGGTGAGCAGCTGAGTTCTGAGACGCCAGGCACGATGCTGCTCTGCTGCAGCCTCTTGCTGCTGCACGGGCGAATTTAGAAGCATAACAGCAATCCACTGCGTTGTTATGTTACTATGTTATGCCCACATCCCTGCTTGTTTGTGTATTTGGAGAGCAGAGCAGCACGTGCTGCCCCCCAGGCCATCATGACCAGTGCGGCCAAGAAAAACCACCAGAGGCATAAAAAGCTACATTAGAAACCAATGCAGTGCACTGAATGAATTTCCTACCTTTTGTCCCCACCTTCCCCTCCCCTCCCCTCACCCGCCTTTGGCCCTGCAATGCAGGCGCGAGAGTATCTGCATTTTCGTGTGTTCGGCCAGCACCACGTGACGCCAGTGGCCATCATGACCAGTGCGGCCAAGAAGAATCACCAGAGGGTGCTGGCTCTGCTGCAGCAGCACAACTGGTTCGGGCGGGGCGAGCACAACTTCCGCCTCTTCCAACAGGTGCGCTTCTTGTTTCCAGATGCTTTGATATGGGCTTTCTTTTGACACGTGACGAAGCCAGTCCACCAGAGGGTGCTGTCTCTTCTGCAGCAGCACAACTGGTTTGGCCAGGGCGAGCACAACTTCCAGCTCTTCCAACAGGTGTGGTTTCAAGTTCGATTCGTTTTGATTCAAGTATGGTCTCAATACAGGTTGTTCCTGTCGCCAGCTTCCACCCCCAACCCCTCCAACCCCCTTCAATCCCTCCCAACCCCTCACTCCATCCTTGCTCTTGCAGCCGCTGGTGCCAACAGTGGCGGCGGAGGATGGCAGGTGGCTGGCCAGCGGCCATCTCTCGCCCGTGCTCAAGCCAGGCGGCCACGGAGTCATCTGGAAACTCGCAGCCGACGAGGGCGTGTTTGAGGCGCCTCAATAGCCCTCACCAATCCCTCCCAACACCTTCGAACCCCTCAATTCTCACTTTGAACCCTTTCCCACCGCTTTAAACCCCTTCGTTCTGCTTCTGCAGCCGCTGGTCCCAACAGTAGCAGCGGAGGATGGCAGGTGGCTGGCGAGCGGCCATCTCTCGCCCGTGCTCAAGCCAGGCGGCCACGGGGTCATCTGGAAGCTAGCAGCGGACGAGGGCGTGTTTGAGTGGCTGCGCTCCAAGGGTCGCAAGGCCGCAGTGATCAGGCAAATCAGGTAAGCATGTGAACCGTAGCAAGTGATCTGGCAGCTACAGCAGCAGCAACTTACGTGATAAAAGTGTAATTTCGAGACGTCTCAAAAAAACTTACATGACTCGCCTGGAACTTTCTGGCATTCCCGACATTTTCCTGATCGTGTACCCTCCCTCCTCCCTCCTCCCTCCTCCCTCCTCCCTCCTCCCTCCTCCCTCCCCTCCTCCCTCCTCCCTCCTCCCTCCTCCCTCCTCCCTCCTCCCTCCTCCCTCCTCCCTCCTCCCTCCTCCCTCCTCCCTCCTCCCTCCTCCCGCCGTCATGTTCCTCTCCCTTTCTGTCATCTGCAGCAACCCATTGGCAGCAACAGACATGACTCTCCTCGCGCTCTCTGGCGTTGGCCTGCACGGCAACAAGGTGAGAAGAGGGGAAGGTACTTTTGAGACGTCTCAAAAGTCGGCGTTGGTCTGCACGGCAACAAGGTGAGAACAGGGGAACGTATATGGTCTTGCGCCTGGCATGAGACTTGCGGTTCATATCTATTTCCCGTTCTTCTTTTTCTCATGATCGGGAGGGGCGCCATCTTGGCCGGCTGGCTGTAATGTGTGAGTGCACACAGAGTATGGCGCTCTTGGGAGCAGGCAGCAGCAGCTGCAGTGGCAGCAGCAGTGGCAGCAGCAGTGGCAGCAGTGGCAGGCAATCTTTATTTTGCCTCCGTACCCTCTCCCTCCTCCTTCCCCTTCCCCTTTTCATGCAGAAATTCGGCTTTGCGTCGTGTGATCGCAACGTGGGCACAGCAGAGGGTGTGAACGTGCTGGCAGAGCAGCAGCAAGCGGACGGGTCGTGGGCGTACGGGCTGACATGCATCGAGTATACCGAGTTTGTGAAACTCGGCATCAGCGACGCGCCTGTGGCTCCTGGTAGCAGCCGGTCGCATTACCCTGCCTGCTCCTCACCACGTTATTCCCCCTTCCCCCCTCCCGCCTTCCCTACACCACGCAGAAATTCGGGTTTGCGTCTTGTGACAGGAATGTGGGAACAGCGGAGGGTGTGAACGTGCTGGCAGAGCAGCAGCAGGCGGACGGGTCGTGGGCGTACGGGCTGACATGCATTGAGTATACCGAGTTTGAGAAACTCGGCATCAGCGACGCGCCTGTGGCTCCTGGCAGCAGCCGATCAAAATACCCTGCCAACACCAACGTTCTCTTTGCTGACCTGCACGCTGTTGAGATGGCTGTGTTAGGCAAGACTGGTGAGGCTGGTGCAGGGGAGGAGCGGCACCGTCAGCAGCGGCAAGAGCAGCAGCAGCCGTGCTGTGGACCAGCTTTGAACAGCAGCAGCAGCAGCAGCAGCAATGGAAGCAGCAGCGCGAATTTCCCTGGGGACCGGTCAGGCGGTGGGATCTGTGCGGGCTTGTGTGGCCCAGACAGCGCCGTTCATACAGACACTGTGAATATCGGGTCGTTCAGTGGGGTTTACGCCAACAGGAGTGCATTCTCTGGCAGCAGGAGTGGCAGCAACAGGAGGAGCTCAAGCCCCAACAGTAGCAGCAGCAGCAGCAGCAGCAGCAGCAGCAGCAGCAGCAGTCCACCATCGCTACCTGGAATGATCATGAACCTGAAGAAGTCGATCTCGTTTGAAGACTGCTATGGCCGCCCTCAAAGGTGTGTGTCAATCTCCGTCGCGGGCAGGAATTATCGTGCGTCGTCTGTTGTGTTGGTCCATCCATTCATTCCATTGAATGGGGTTTCTTTCTTTCTTTCTTTCTTTCTTTCTTTCTTTCTTTCCCATTTATGACGAGCGCTTCAGTCGTGTGGTTTCTTTCTTTTCCTGTCTCTCGCCATCCTGTCTTCACACCATCCGAGGAGGCCGATTGGAATGCACGATGCAGAACATCGCTGATCTCCTCATCACCTCTCACTCATACCGCCTGCCTCTGGTTTGGACTACCGACCGCGTCACTCATTCCTGACCTCTCTCTTTCCCTTCACTTCACTCTCTGGCTTTGCAGCATTCGAGGAGGCCGATTGGAGTGCACAATGCAAAACATCGCGGATCTCCTCGTCACCTCCCTCCCGTACCGCCTGCCTCTGTTTTGGACTACCGACCGCACCATCCGAGGAGGCCGGCAGGAATGCACGATGCAGAACATCGCGGATCTCCTCGTTACCTCTCACTCATCCCCCTGGATTTTTTTCCATCCCGTTCCCTCCCTGCCCTTGCTGTGCAGCATCCGAGGAGGCCGATTGGATCTGCTTTTGAGTCGACTCAAAACCACCCCCCCGGTCTTCTTTCCTTCCCGTTCCCTCCCTGCCCTGGTTGTGCAGCATCCGAGGAGGCCGATTGGATCTGCTTTTGAGTCGACTCAAAACCACCCCCCCGGTCTTCTTTCCATCCCGTTCCCTCCCTGCCCTGGTTGTGCAGCATCCGAGGAGGCCGATTGGATCTGCTTTTGAGTCGACTCAAAACCACCCCCCCGGTCTTCTTTCCTTCCCGTTCCCTCCCTGCCCTTGCTGTGCAGCATCCGAGGAGGCCGATTGGAGTGCACGATGCAGAACATCGCTGATCTCCTCGTCACCTCCCTCCCATACCGCCTACCTCTCGACATGGATACTGCCACCGCTGCTACTGCTGCTTCCTCAATTTCTCCAACCCACAGTGGTGAAGCCACTGCTCAGGAGGGCAGGGAGGGGCGGGGTGGAGCACAGGTGCAGGGCGAACGGAGTGCAGCTGCAGTGGACAGTGGGACAGAGGGGAATGCGGCAGAGCACAGCAAGCATCAGCTACAAGCGGTGCTGGACACGTTTCTGGTGTTCAACGACCGCCGCAAAGTCACCTCCTCCGCCAAGCGCCGGCGCAAGCCCACAGACACGTCCCTGCATCAGGTATGGCTGGAGTAGAGGCAGTGGGACAGGTAGGGGAGAGCAGGAGACAGGTGCAGGCGGCAGTGGACAGTGGGAGAGAGGACAGGAAGAGACAGGTGCAAGCGGTGCTGGACACGTTTCTGGTGTTCAACGACCGCCGCAAAGTCACCTCCCCCGCCAAGCGCCGGCGAAAGCCAACGGACACGTCTCTGCACCAGGTACGGTGGAGTTCAGGCAGTGGGGCAGAGGGCAGTGGGGTAGAGGGAGGTTCCTTGTTGGACCTGAACTGCAAGCAACTCACTTCCCTACTGCCTCCTTGCTTACCCCACTGACGCGTTTTTTTTTTTTTCCATCCAGAATCGTCCCACGTGCTTCAGACGGCCCGTTCTTGGATCTCAACCACAACTCGCTGGAACTCTTCTCCTCCACTTCGCACACTCGTCCCACTCGCTCATCCCACACTCATCCCACTTGCTCATCCCACACTCATCCCCTCCCTCCTCCCTTCTCTCGCTTTCCCTACCCACCACACTCCTGCAGACTCCAGACGGCTCCTTCTTGGACCTCAACCGCAACTCGCTGGAGCTCTTCTCCTGCACTTCCCTCACCTACCTTAAACGTGTACCCTTGCCCATTCTTCCCCCTTTCCCTTCCGTCCCCAACTTGCAGACTCCAGATGGCCCCTTCTTGGATCTCAACCACAACTCGCTGGAACTCTTCTCCTCCACTTCGCACACTCGTCCCACTTGCTCATCCCACACTCATCCCCTCCCTCCTCCCTTCTCTCGCTTTCCCTACCCACCACACTCCTGCAGACTCCAGACGGCTCCTTCTTGGACCTCAACCGCAACTCGCTGGAGCTCTTCTCCTGCACTTCGCACACTCGTCCCACTTTTGAGGCGCCTCAAAAGTCGTCTCTCTACCCGCAGATGGCCCCTTCTTGGATCTCAACCACAACTCTCTGGAGCTCTTCTCCTGCACTTCCCTCACCTGCTTTGCATCCTTGCTCATCCCCTCCTCCCTCCCCTTTCCTTTCCCTCCTGTCCCGAACGCCCCTGCAGACTCCAGATGGCTCCTTCCTTGACCTCAACCGCAACTCGCTGGAGCTCTTCTCGTCCTGTGGTGTTGCCATGCCGCATGTGAGTGCCTGTAGTGCCTGCTGTGCCTGCTGTGCCTGTAGTGTCCACGTTCTCCACTCTCTGCCACTCTCTGCCACTCTCTGCCACTCTCTGCCACTCTCTGCCACTCTCTGCCACTCTCTCCACTCTCTCCACTCTCTCCACTCTCTCCACTCTCTCCACTCTCTCCACTCTCTCCACTATCTCCTCTGCCCCCATCAGATGCACAGCGATCACAAGCGCTACGTGGACTCATCTCCACCGTTCATCTTCCTCTTTCACCCCGCCCTCGGCCCGCTCTGGAGCGTCATTCGGCAAAAGGTATGTCTGCTCTCTGCCCATAGCGTTTCTAAGGCTTTTCAAAAGAGTTTTGAGTCAACTCAAAACCCGCCCTCAGCCCGCTCTGGAGCGTCATCCGGCAAAAGGTACGTCTGCCCACTGCCCATAGCGTTCTTACGCTTTACAGAAGAGTTTTGGGTCGACTCAAAACTCGCCCTCGGCCCGCTCCAGAGTGTCATCCGGCAAAAGGTACAGCAACACACAAATGCCACATCTGCCTGTGGTCAAGCACTTCAGTTCAGAAAGTTGTTTTTTTCTTTTAACGCTTTTCAGCTGCCTCAGGCCTTCGCTCTCAGGTGTCCTCCCGCAGAAGTTTCCCCCTCTGTACATCAAAAGTCGCTTAACTGTTTTTTGGGGAGGTTTGTTTTCCTTCCCGCTCATCCCTGTAGTACTTACCTCTTTTCTTGTCTGTGTTCTTGTGCTTGTGTGTAAACCGCAGGTACAGGGAGGCTCTGTGGCGCCACAGTCTGAAGTGAAGCTGGAGATAGCTGAGCTTGCGTGGTCTGACGTACATGTGAGTCATGCAAGTCAACCAGGTGTAGTGGGGTCAAACAGGGTCAGTAAGAGTCAACCAACGCAAGTCAGCCAGGTTCAATACAAGTCATTCAGGTCAATGGGAATCAAACGGGGTCAATGTGAATTAAACTAAGTTAATCTGGGAGTCTGTTAATGCAGGTATCTGGACCCTCACCCACCAGTGCCCCCACTCACCATTTGCCCCACCTGCCCATCTATCTGGGAGCTTGTTGATCGGGGCCGATGCCGTCACAGCTCGGCCAAGGCTGAGCATAGCTTGATCAAATCTGCCCAGTGGCTTTTCGTTGAGCTCGAAAGTCCTCCCTTTCCCTCTATTACCTTCACCTACCCCAATGCAGGTATCTGGGAGCTTGTTGATCGAGGCCGATGCAGTCACAGGCTCTAGGGATTCCCACTCCGGCACCACACAGCTAGGCCAAGGCTGCGGTCGGTGCCGGTTACACAACGTGACGGTTACCAACAGGGGAGTGGACTGGGATAACGAGGCAAACGTTTACTGGCAGGACCGGGTGCAGAGGAAGGAGGCGTTGAGAGTGGTGCTGCGCGGTGATGCAGAGTTCGAGGCGAGGGATGTGGCGATTGTGGGCGATCATGTGTTTGACGTACCAGAGGGGCACCGAATGGTCGTGTTTGCATCGGAAACAGGTGAGCGGTGCAGAGTGGTTCAATGCAATGGTGTGAGATGTGAGGGGAATTGAAGCGAGGGATGTGACGATTGTGGGCGATCATTTGTTTGACATTCCTGAGGGGCACCGCATGGTCGTGTTTGCATCGGAAACAGGTGAGCAGAAGGATGGCTTGATTTGTCAGGGCTCATTGTGCACGGGGATTTTGGGCTGTTTAGATTGCCTGACAGGGTATTTTCTGGGGGTCTTTGTGGTAGACTGTAGTCAAAAGTCATTCCTATACACCTCTTCCTTTTGTGTCCACATCAGGAGCCATGCAAACAAGGCTGGAGAAGCTTCCTGGCAGGAGGCCTACCTGGGAGTGGCAGTACTCTGTGGGTGACCATGGGTCCCTCCAGCTCACCCTGATTGAAACTTAGAAGTTAAAATGGAAATGGAGATGTAACTGTAGATGTTTGTATAGTCGTACCAGATGCTAATAAAGTGAAGCTTTGTGATTACAAAACAGTGGCTGTGAAAGTGTGTGGCCGCAGATGCTTCTCTAACCAGTTAGCCAGTTATATTTACAAGCAGCTGCCACCTCTTGCATCAAGATGCACAGAAATAAATAAATATGGCAGCAGTTGGCCAGTGGCCACTCAGTATGCCAAACACGAAGTGGCTGGGCTCAATAATGGCTAGATTTCTGAGATTGTTCCCTCTATTTAGAAAGCTTGCTTTCTTTCATGTAGCAATGGCATCGTCTCATTTCAAATGGGTTTAGTACAATTTGAAATCCAAGCAGCCTATCAGACTAATGTGCTAACACATTTCAAGGGGTGGGTGGGCGGGAAAATCGGCTAAACCGTTTGAAAATGAGAGACGTGGGTGGAGGGAAATGACCTCCAGCCAACGTTTTGTACTCCAAAACGGGCGTTTAGCGCGGTTCGTCGCTGCCCATTCCTACATTACAGACTGCTTCGCTTTCAAAATACGAAATTTTGAAAAGCGTTACACTTTTAAAAATATTCATATTTAGAAAGCTTGCTTTCTTTCATGTAGCAATGGCATCGTCTCATTTCAAATGGGTCTTCTGAGACATGTGCAGTGGAGGTTGTCGTCGTCGCATCAGAGCCGCTGAGTGTTGCACTGGTGACGAGGCTCGTGCCGGGTCTTGAACGTGTCGAGACGCTTCGACCAGCTGATCGACCGCCGGGGTGATGTACATCTCCTTGGCAGTATCGCTGCGCCACCGTCCCAACTGTTTCAAAAAGCGATCTGGTACTCCTGAGTTGGCGGCGGCAGTGGCTGCGCCTTTGCGAAAAGAGTGGGTGCCGAGATGCTCGAGACCTAAGCCGATCTTTTGGAATGCCTCCTTGCACCAGTTGCGGATTGTTGTGTAGGATGGTGAAGTGGCGGCAGTGCCGAGACTCGTGGTGTCTTGACCGAAAACTCGTATGAGCGGGCCTCTTTGTGCATGGTTGTATCCCGCCAATTGGATGAAGCGCTTGGTGCACCGTACGGGGCAGAAGGGACCTGAGCTTGCTGCTACTGGAACCCATGCACCTTCTCCTGCCTGGTCAGTCTTTGAGCGGGGAATAAAGAGCCACATGGCGTCTTCCTCGAACTGGATGTCGTGCCACTTAATTTCGACGAGGTCCGAGTAGCGTAGAAAGCCGGCGTACATTAGGATTGGGATAAGTCCCTTCTGGAACTCGCCGGGGTTGTTTGACTCCAGGTATTCCGACGCCATTTCGTGGACTTGGTGCAAAGAGATGGGCTCTTTGAGTCGTCGGGGGCGCGGGCAATGTCGCTTGGCGAATTCCCGCACTTGGGATGTGAACGGCCCAGTTGATGGGCACGGGGCCCCGATCATCCGATGTGCGAAGCTGACTGTCGAGCATGTCAGTTGTATCACTGATACTGTGGCTTTTTGTTGAATCGCATGGACCAGGTATAACGCGAGCGTCATGTCTGTGCATGGCAGAAACTGTAGCTTGACTCGTTTGCAGAACGTGCGGAACTTGGCCCAGTACGGCTCGTAGGTGCGAATCGTAGAGTCGGCCCGTGTTTGCGCAGTTATACGGAGCAATTCTTGCTTGAGCCTCTCAAGTAATCCTGCACCAGGTTCGTGAGAGGTCAGGTAGCGAACGACACTCGTAAAGCGAAAATAGGGCTATGAGGCATTCCTTCGCCAGAGAAGGCACAAGTGTGGGTGCCCGCGGTGAGGCACTGACTCCCATGGGTGATGTGGATGTGAGCGCGAATGCAAGGGGCCCACTTCGGTGGGGTGGTTTGTAGCAACGGCCACCAGCTTGCCCCTGGCCAATGAGGCACTACGAGCGTGAGCGATGCTCGCGTCCGTTGGGCGTGGTGAAGCACTGCTGGGATGAGGTGTGGTGGTGGGAAAGCATAACCGTGCTCAGCGTTCCATGATATTGAGAAGGCGTCGGTAGCCTCTGTGTCCGGGTGAGGTGTTTTGGAACAGAAGCGGGCTAACTGTGTGTTGCTTGCATTGGCGAATAGATCGATGGAGTGCGGTCCCAAACGCCGCTCAATGAGGCGGAACCACGGTGCTTTAATTGAGTAGTCATCTCGATCGATCATCTTGGAGAGTTCGTCCGCTCGTGTGTTGAGCTCGCGTGGGATCCATTCGACCGTCACGCGAATCCTCGAGGCCATGCACGTTTGAATAATGGCTCTGCATGTTGTGGTGAGACTAGGGCTTCGAGAGCCGCCTTTGCGAAGAATGAAGAATACGCCTTGGTTGTCAGTTCTGGCTAGGACGTGTCGGTTGTGGATCCCTCCCGCGAACGTTTGGAGAGCCCATAGAACTCCTTCCATTTCTCGTTGCGTGCTCGAGGTCCTTGTGAGATGCTCGGGCATTGCTGCATTCGCCTCGGTTCGCCCTCCCGGGAACGTGTCTAGTGTGGCTCCCCAACTGTGTGCGCTGGCGTCCACATGGATCACTGCGTCGTAGCTGCTCGGGACGTGGAAGGAGGCGCCATTGAAGTTGTCGAATTCTTGCAGCCAAAACTCGAGTTCCTCGATTACGGCGGGGACTAATGGCACCTTGCTGTTCCATGAAGCGGCCTCCTGAATGGTCTGCAGCAGGTTCTGGCTAAATGCCCGCGCAGTTGCGCCGATGGCAAGTGACATCGAAGCGAGCATGCCGGTGACCCTCGCTACATGGCGGATCGGGACCTTGCGCTTGGCTCTGCCTGCCATGCAAAGTTCTTGAATGGTCGAGCGTAACGATGTACGCCGCTCGGGACCAATGGAGAATTGGCCGTGCTTAGTATTCAGTTCGACACCCAGAAAGCGCAGCTGCTGGGTGGGTTGCAGATGCGACTTCTTAGAATTAATGACTAGCCCCGCCTTGTTGAGGTCCTCCACCACCATCTGACACGTAGTTCGAGCCTCTGCTTCCGTGTGACACAAAAATATGATGTCGTCAACGTACGGGATGACTCGTACCCCGAGGGCCCGCCAGCGGCGGGCGAGCTGCTTGATAAGTTGCGTGAATACAAATGGGGTCGTCGCGAGGCCGAAAGGGAGGGACCGAAAGACGTATGAGCGCCCGTCGAATTGGAATCCCAGGTACTTCCAGCATGACGGATGGATGTCGACGTGGTGGTATCCTGATTTGAGGTCGACAGCGAACATCCAATCGCCTATGCTGACGAGCTCCGCCACCCGTTTCAATCCCTCGTACTTGAATTTGGGGATGCTCAGATTTTGGTTTACTCTTCTGAGGTCAAGAATCGGTCGGCACTTGTCTCTTTGAACCACCACATTTAGTGGACTGATGCAGAGCTGTTGGGATCCGGGGGCGATAATGGCCGCACCACTATCAAGGAGCTCGATTATGGCCTGCTTGGTGAACTTTGAGTGGATTAGTGCTCCCGCGTGGTTGTCTTTCTGAAACGGCGTGGGGGGCCCATGCTTCCATGGCATCCAATAGCCATTTAAAACCACCGAGTGTATGAAGCTACTCTCGCACCATGAGCTCCACCAAGGAAATGCTGCGCGCAGGCGTCCGCGCATGGTCGTGACGAGCTTGTCGGTGATCGCGATCTCGTACGGGTCATACTCAACCATCGAGCCGATACCCGGTGTATCTGTGGACCATGGGGTTCGGGGCAGCATGGGACATGCTTCGTTAAGCAAGGTATGCGGCAATGTAGGTCCCCCGTGAGGTTCTCACTCTCGCTCTCTCTTTTTCTCTCTCTTCCTTTCTCTCTCGTTGTTGTGGTTGATTTTTTTTTTTTATTTTTTTTTTTCATGAGTCCTTTTGCCTGATTGCATGCACTTGGGTGTTCCGCCCTGTGCCTAACATGTGGTGCTCGTAGGGCAGCTCCTTCTTTTGCTCGGTGAGCTCATCACGGTGAACATCTCGCTCGCGCTCTTCCTTCCTTCCCCCTCTTTTTTTTTTTTTTTTTTTTTTTTTTGCATGATCATGCTTGCCGTTCTCCAGATTCGTTGGATAGCCGTCCTTGCTGCCGTCCCCTTCTTAAGACCATGGAAACCTTGCCTTGCGTCTCGGGCTCCTGGCTTAGTGGGAACAAAAAACTCCCTCCCTTCGTAGTTTTCTCTCTCGCTTGTTTCCCTCTTTCTCTCTCTTGCTCTTATTCTCTGGTTTTTTTTTTTTTTTTTTCAGAGGCTTGTGGCTGCTCCCGTTGCAGCTTCTTACACACGTTGAAACCAAGGGCCTTAGTAAGTCACACAAAAAATCACCGTTTTCACAAACATAGCCCATTATGCATTCCGAGCCCTCAATAATGCACACAAGAAATCCACCATTTCATTAAATGCTTTACTCTAGGACTCCTAGTCCTATCCCCTTGCCTTGGGGTTGGCCCGCGGCCATTCTACCATCCCCTACGGGAAAACGGCCAGCGGCCTTGCACTCCCTAGTGCTACCTTGATCATGCCCCTCGACACCGGGTGATTGCCCTTTCGGGAGTTCACACCACCGGTGCGGGCCCTTGGGCTCCCGCCCCATTTTCAGGGCAAGCGTTGGCCATGTGGCCCGGCTGC